AGCGACAACAGCGAAAACAACGAGGGAAAATGATGAAGTGAGGAAAGTAGAAATGGATATTTTCTTGATCCTCGGGGGCTTCAACTCGCTCGCTCTCCCATGTGTGTTGGTCGTTTCAAAGCGGGGTACGACGTAGAGCCCGCGTTATGCGACCCCTACGTTCGACTTTGACGTCCGGAATATCCTGGTGTTCGCAGATTGACCAATCTGATGCATCCATTGATCACTACCCAATCAATATCCAAACACATCTCGAGCTTCCCCCCCTTTCTACTGTTGCACCAAGACCGAACATAGGTTTGTGCGTGTTTGACTTGCTTGTTCTGGCGCCAGTCTAGACGCATCAGCCGGGCTCACACTGGAGGACGGTCACAGAGGAGCTCGTTATAGTTATTGATGTCGTTGCCTCTTCGGTGCTTGCCTTAGCTCGTGCCGTGAGAAGGGTTCCGCCGTCCCTTTCCTTGTCGGCTGTGCAGTCGAAGTGCGAATACTCACGAAAATCGTGTCCCCTGCAAAGTTGTACGAAATAAAACCCTTCAGAGAGAGAATGAAACCCACAACATTCTACAAATAGATTTGCGACGTTAACCACTGGACTACTCGTACGCGGAATATCCAATGCCCCTTTCACGTGAAACAGCACTCTGTCCCCACTTGCATGAGAAAAGTATTGCTGTGTGCACGACACAAGAATGCAGCGCGAAAGGCCGCAAGGTCGTGACGGGACGAACCGTTACGACAAAGACGAACCGCCAGCCAACACTTCATGCTCACCCTCGTGTGCTCCGGGTCACAGTCCGAGACGTATCCCTCAAACTGGAGATTGACTCTGCTCTCCGACACCTTCGGTTGTTAAGAAGTAAATGGCTCCGGTCACCAAGGGCAAACATCGTTGAAAAGGCGGGGGTTCGGGGGTTACCGGAGGTTGATATCGTTCGTCTTGCTGGGGAAGGGGGATGGATTGATGTGTTGAGTGCCACCACGCCAACTGGTTCTCTGCTGTTTGTGATATGCGATCTTGCTGGAAAGCTGTGCCTTCTGAGCGGACGGTCAAAACACCCGAGCCGACAAGAGGCCGATTACAGTGACAGACGCAACGTTCCACGATCCACGACTGTAAATATTGATACACTGGCAGTTGTTGAGCGTTCAGTAGCGAGCTACGTTTAAGTACACGTGCGCACACAGGCGGTGACTTGCTTTCCGTGGGTGGAATGCTTATTTTACTGATGGGGGCTTCTGTGCGAAGCGCTCGATCCCTGTCGTCCAGCGCGAATAGCTTCGCTTGTCCCACCTTGAGGGGCCTATAGTCTGCTGACTCTGCTGACTGGTTCGCCGTCCCTGCTTAGCACAACGCTCCGATCCGAGATCGTAACGAACAGATTTCGTTTCCTGCAAGCCAGCGAGGACAAGTAGGAGCAGAGACAGCCAGGCAGAAGGGGCTGACCGAGAAGAGCCAGAGGGATACACCCACCTTGACTTGTGCAAGCGCCGTGAGGACATGATTCGTTGCTTTGTGCTCACGTTCTGACGCTCGGGCCGAGCGCCAACACTGCTTGCTCCGCCAAATGCAAGGGAAGAGGGGCAAGGGAACCCCAGAACTTTACCGGACGAAGGGTACCACGCGCCTTACCGAATCTCACCCAGCCGGGCATCCACATCATTATTCTACCCGTCAGCAACGACATCATGCCAATACAACTTGCTCTGTTGAAACGCTTCTCAGGCACCACCCACCACCACCGAGCCATCACTTGCCCCCCCCCCAAATCGAACATCCGACTCGAACAGATACATAAACAACCCTTGCCTCTGTCGTCGGTGAAGATTTGGTCAACACGAGCGCAATAGTCTACCCGTGTTGTCTAGAGGAAGGGCCGTCAAGAACAGACCCTTCTTCTTATGCTGGAGGTGAACAAGACAAGTTAGCGATCTGCACCCACCCCTTCCTCAGCTGCAGCTCTCTCTCCCGCCCCCGCCCCTGAGACCGTCGTGGTGATCAACCGTCACCGTACCCCCCTTTTCGCGGCGGCATCTGTCGCCTCCGCTCCTTTCTTTCTGCTATTATCCACCCGCGGCCGGGTGGCCAATGTTCCGCCGGCACCAGGGTCCCCCTCGTCGTTGACTCCGCCACCCCGGACGGGATCGGAACTTTCCCCGACACAGAGGTAGCACACGGTCGTGAGGTTGATGAGGACGTACTACAGTAGCATTTCCCACCCCCCTCCTTCTCCTCCGCCTCGCGGCTTCCTCGGCGTAGGTGTTGCGCCCACCGCACCCGCCGCACCCGCCGCACCCGCTCGCGAAGGAGGAGGATGGACGAGTACCGCCGCTGTTGCCGGCGCCGCCGCCACAACGTGCTCTTCCGTCGTTTCCACCGGGACCCAGGTAGATTTCACTGTTCCGCATCTATCTCTCCGCGAAGCCGCAGCGTTGGTGAGAGTGAAGCTCCCCAATGCAGAGGTTCTCCTTGTGCATGGAATGAGGGTGTTCCTTAAGGCACAGGTCCCGTTGCTGCTAAGCCAACGGAGGTTCCGTCGCGCGCCACTTCCCCTTGCACTCTTCGCGTAAATGGTCCAGTAATTCAGAGGTTTCCTGCTGCATTCCACCCTCCTCTCAACACCGCCGCCGTCAAAAGGATCAGACATCGAACCCGCCGCCGCGGCAGCGGCGCTTCTGGTGTAAAGACGAGATTTTGCTGGTGGTTGCACGGTCTGCTGGTGCTGGTGGGAGTGCGACGGGTGTTTCCCCTAACAGTTGTCGACGATGATGAAAATACAGTCGGATTCCGCCCTGCTGCAGCTGTTGTTGTGTTGGGTCGAGGGAACCGGCGGCGCTCGAGCAACTACCTCGGAGCGGGCGGCCACCGAGGGCGTAGTGGGTCCGCTCCAGAACCCACAGCCAGTTGCTGCTGGTATTATGCAACTTTTGGCGACGGTGACGGGTTACAGAAATGTACAGGAAAGGACCGCTGCCGCCGCTTGCCTCCCACTCCCGGCTCTGCCCACCCCCCTTGGCGGCAATACTCCCGCCATAACCGCCTCGTAGGATAGAAACCCCGTGCTCGTAGGCAGGTGGCAAAGGTGCACCGCGTCTCCCCGGAGACTAGCGCCCACGTCAACCGAAACGCCGCCGGTGGGGGTGTCGGTGGTTCCACAAAATAGCAATGGCCGCGTAGGGTGACAGAAGAGTCTGGAGCTGGCCATCCGCCGGAGTGTGGAGGGCAAGGCCGTGGTAACTGCTATTGCGATGGACAGTCTATTGTCAGAGTGGCGCAAGGGGGGACAGCTGTGATATGGCACAATTCTCAGGAGCGAGTGCCAATGTGAGGAGTGCACGGGGATGTGTGCGTGCACGGGAATGCGTGCGTGCGCGCGGTGGCGTGCGTTTCATTATATTTAGCATCGACCGCGCTAACCGGCTGACCAACGAAAAGACGTCAGTCTCAGTGCAGCCTAAAACAGAAAAATCATGTAATGGCCGTGATTTGGGCAACAGAAACGTTAGCAACAGAAGCGAACTGCACGTGTCTACCAAGGCTGGTACTTTGCCCTCGTTTCCGATCGTACCACTTCGCGTGCCGTTGCTGCTTTCATCGTCCTCTGTAAATTCACCGCTCTCTTTGCTACTACTACTGTACATTCCTCCCGCTTTTGTTACGGGGCTCTCTTCGTGTGTCTTTATTTTTTAGCATCGACCGCGCTAACCGGCTGACCAATGAAAAGACGTCAGTCTTCGTGCGGTTGAAAACACAAAACACTTCTATCTGCCATGAACTGGGACCCCGTGAGGGGGCAGCATGGGGGGAGCTAAACTATCCGCCGGATCGAAGACAGAAAAGGTAGCCACAGAAGAAAAATTCGTGTGTGTGTGAGTGTGTTTTGGGCGCGGTCTGGCAGCACTGTCCAGTCTCCCAAATGGTTAAGAGTAGGCCGCGTGGGGCTGGGCATGGATGATGGTGGAAATGCGCACGGAATCATGCGTCATCCTTGTATTTTGTTACAAGAAACGTGTATTGATTTTCGCCCCGCGCGCAACAAGGAGCGGAACTATCAAGACTCGAAAATGATATATTTTGCGCTTGAATCTACATCATATCGAACACCAGAAATGATGCCAGGACAGCATCAGTACTGTGAAACAACCCGCAGTAGCGAAGGTTGTGGAATGGACAGGCACCCCCGAACGAATCTTCAGTATCATCCATTGGCGAAATGAATCTTTCATCGGAGAAACTTGCCAAAAAGTTACGTGCTCGCTGCCAGCAGGTAATCAAATGGGAATACGACGAACAATCGATATCACCCCAAACGCTTGTCCGCCCTCTGTACGCGGCACTACGGTCTCGCTCGAGAGGCGTGCATGTTGAAAGTACCTTTCCAATAGCAGCTCTTATTGGCATTCACATGGGAATCGCCGTACCCAAACAACGAATCGACTGTGGGTGGCGCTGTGAAACGCGTTGTTGGCGCAAGGTTTAGGGAATCGATCTTGCATCTCCCAACCCCCGCATCGCGTGAAACCATACGTACAGTGATAATCGGAATTCGCAGATAAGGTCATGCAACCCCTCCTGGTGCTACATGAAAACGCGTTCGCAAGCGCGACACGGTCCCACATCTACTATTACAGCGCCGTGCCACACCTACGCCTAATGGGTGCGGGACAAAGCGCCCACCGCGGATGTTTGATCGATTCACGGAGATTAGTAAGTCGTCGCTTCTTAACTTCTCCTCCCCCCCCCCCTACCGCCACAAACCGACCCCGCGGTGTCTGACCCGGCGCCCCATCACGACACTTCCACCCCTTTCTGCATGAAACCCGGGTCAAATTCACTCGCGATCAAGCAATGTAGGCCCAGTTCATGATCGTCCAGCACTGGGAGCGAAGAGTGAGTTCCATACCGGCAAGCTCGACGAGCCAATCCCTCCCGCGCCCGCTGACATCCAAGACGTAGGCCTCGCACACGTCAACGATGCGCTCGAACACCTCGTTGTACACTAGCCTATAAAACATTGGATGGAGTTCACAGGGCCAGAGAGAAGGAAGCACGGAGGTGGCGGTCAGTGTTTTTATATCGCTGAACGGGATATTGAGATTGGCCGCGAGGGGAGGGGGATGAATGAGGATGAATGAGTGTATCTACAGGTATTGTATTGTTGGCGCAGGACTCCTTTAGGAGTTTCATTCCTGCAATGTTGTGGATAGAGCTGAGGACCGCAGTGCTTGCTTTCAGCACGAGGCGGGGAATACAGCCTCCTGGACACGGAAGTTGAACGAATAAATCGGCGTCAACCCAAGTATATCGGCTCAATTCACGACGTGGAGCTCTGGAATTTCCTAACGAACACATCGATCATTGTGCTGATAGACTGTAGCAGCAATCCCAAGCCACCCACGATAGCACGCACTTCAGAAACGGATCAAGTGAAAATCAATCACCGAGCCCACGAAACGACGAAACTCAAATCAGCTAATCACCCATTCGAAGGGGCACATTTGTTTGGCCTCTCGCACACTCGAATACGTCCCGTAGGAATACTGCAGAGTGCCAGCACGAGATAAAATACCGAGGACGCGTCGTCACCGAACAAAAAGCGGATGACGAGAAAAACGCACCACGTGTTCCCGAAGTTGGGGTTGGTCGGGTCGGTGACACCGGTACCGGCGATGACGTCGGGAAACGTCATGGCCGCGTTGCCCGCCTCACCACCAGCGACGACGTCGACGAAGAAATCCACCGCTCTCTGGACGTCTGCCTTAGTGCCGAGCCGAGTGAGGTGGCCACCGACGAGGACGTCGAACTCTTTTCCTGGAAAAACAGAAACACGTAGGGCGCTTGGTCTAACACCCCGGTCCCTTGTTCCACACGGTTCCGTGTGCCAGTGAGGGCGGGGAGGGTGGGGGGGGGCGATCCACCGATCCAGCGATATTTCTACATACCTCAAACGCCCGAGGTTAGTTTCCCTTACATCCTTGCGCTCACCGTTTATTTCGTCGAGAGCTTCCAGAAAGTCGCTGACATCTTGGACGATATTCACCGAGTAAAAGGGAGCCCTGGTTGTCCGTGGATGTGGGGGAGAAAATGGGAACCGCAACCAAAGAGTGAGCGACGCGTTTCATCGAAATAACGCAAGAGGAAGGGTTGTTTAGGGGGACGCTTGCGATTTTCAGCAGGATTCCAATACGAGTCGGAATGCGGGCTGATTCAGGAAAGGGAGTCCTGTACTACAGTACTGCAATGAATGGCGAGCTCCAGCGTGCGCCAAATATTGGTAGGGGCGTCGGAGGCCTATACTCCGATTCTCAACGAGACACACGAAAACAAAACGAGCGAGAGAGGGGGACAAAGTGACAGAGGCAGAGAGAGCGAGAGAGAGTAGTATACGACACAGGCAAATATTTGAAATCAGCGAACGCCAAACCTCTCTGTTTCTAGATCTCTGGGCGCCAACTGCATGCCGTCTCACCAGCCTGCGAACACCGTGTCGGTGACCATGAAGATCGTGGAGTCGATTCCTGCGGTGTACGGAAATAGTTTTTCGATGAACAACAAGCGAGCCATCCGAGGCAGGTGTGGTCAAAGAACGGGGAGCCGAAGTTATTCTCAAGTGTTTATTGCGATTTGACGTAGAAAACATAGCTAACTGTAGCCTCGTTTTCTTGGTCCATGCGTTTAAAAGAAGTTCAGGATCGATCAGCACCTACCTGCAGTATTGTCGAGAATTGGCAGCACCAGAAATGCTCAAACAACCGTTATTATTTGCGGCCCCTTCTGTACGGACGCCTGTTGGGTGGGTTTCCGTTTCGTGGTCGTCTGGGGATATATTTTCTTCGGGCAGGCCTGGCACAGGGTTGGTTGTGGTGCGCACCCAAAGCCAGACGGTTCCGGCACTCCTATAACACAACTCGTCCATGAAAAAGCTGTAGCTAGTCCCCATTCCATTGTTCCTTGAGCGTCTGCTGCATCATTGTGCGCGTGTGCGGGACCGGGCGGGACCGGTGCATGTATGTCTCGAAGACATCCCCTCTCTTCTGGGGAGCTCATGTAATTAATTGTTGGGTACACGACCACCTACAATAGTCTCGAAATACGCTTGCTTACGAACAACGCGGAGTCAATTTTGTTCGCCTCAACTTTACAAGGCCCCGTTCGTTACTCGTTTCTACCCACGCGGGAAATTCAAACGATTCCCCCATTCAGTAGCCGCCAGTCACGCTTTGCCGATACGCCTTAGTTACTCTACGACCTCCCCAAGCTCATTCAAGCAGTCTGCCCCACCCGATGGAATGAGGCTGTTGGTAGTGCAGGGCGGGCCCGCAAAAAACATTATCTCGTTAGGAACCAGACGCTTGAATTTTCGCGAAACCTACACATTACTGTGACGACGAGAACGAAGCTGAGCCTGGGTCAAGTACTTGCGTTGCTGAAGTGCCCGCCTGTATTATCCAACACCCACGAAGAGAGGGCTCATCCTGGTACAAGCGCCGCCGACAAATGAATATATTCCAACTGTAGGAGTTCCGCTCCGAAAGTCACATGAACGTTGTTTTTATCAGTTAAAACGGCCGCACAAACAATGGTCGATCATGTGCCGCACCTTCTCCAGCATTCTGCGGATCGTGCTTGTCGAGAGTCACCATCAAATCCCCCCCTTGGTGAGCGTTGGCCTTCTCCAGCGTGAAGCGGAGACCACCCACCTTCGGAATACGAGAAGTAATTAGGACTGGCTGTTCAAGCACAAATGCTCGGCAAAAATACTCCGCGGGCAAACACGTCGAAGGAGGGTCGGGAAAACGTGTGTTTCATTTCGGTTTCATTGGCACAGCTATGTCTGCGGTGCCGTGGTAGTGGGTCGCCGAAATGTCTATTCTATCGCGATTGATAATAGATTATGCTTGATACAATCCGACGGTGCCTTTGGGTCCTCTCTGTGGTATTTGCGGCAGTAAAGTCCAAATACCACCTTCAGATATCTCCATGTGTGTACGTCGACACGTACGTAGAGTTAGCTAGGTCAGAGTGTCGAGGAACTCAAAAGGGGCCCGCGCAAATAGAGGTGGCAGAAGAAGCAGCAGTAGAAGAAATATGTTAAGGAAAAGCGGCAAAGCGGCGTATCCTATACTAAACTCTATACAACAGCCTGTGCTCGACGGTGGCAATCAAATAAGAATTGTGCTTGGAACCCGAAATTGAAGTGCCTTAGTTGAGGTCTGTTCCGTAGTGGAAAGGACCGGATGAGGGTACAACCGCCCCCCTTATACGAAGGTCACAACAGTAGACCCCATCCCCAAGAAGAGCATCAACGCCACGAACAAAAACAACAACAACAACGACCATAACAACAAGGACAGTAGTAGCCGCAGAAGCAGGAACAGCAGCAGGTCGTAAAGCGCCGATTCCAGGCCTTTGTTACCTCAAGCACTTCCTCTTGGTACCACTCGGGGACAGGGACGCCCCGGTTGTTGCCGAAGACGGTGTTGGGGTCCTTGGTGTCACGCTTTTTGACGGCCAGGCGAGTTCGCCGGCTTGCGATAGCGGTGGGATTGTCCGCGGCGAAGTATTCAACGACAAGCCCTGCCGCGCCCATGTGGTCCTGCATAAGAATTGTTTGGGGCCGTGACCCAGCAATACGTCAATTTGTCGTTGTTGTTTACGTGGTTGTCGGTGTTGTTGACTTGCAACGAGTGTTTGAGTCTGTGGAAGCCACACGTACCGGGCCGCGGCCGTGTGCACCCAAGAAGGAAAAGGAGCGTGAGAACATCAAACGAGGTATTCGGCGCGTGCAACTCACCCAGTGGCGATGCGTGTAGACGATGTACTTGAGCTTGGTACCCTCGGAGAGGAGCGCGTCGATCGATGCCGTAAGCCAAGTGCCGTTGGGAAACTTCTCCCCGAAACTTGACGTGAAGCTCGCTGAATACACGACCACAAAAAAGAGGGTTACGTAACATGCAGTGAGAGAGACGGTATTCATCGGGCAAAACTCTTGTTGTGGTGGGTCGGGTCGTGGGCGAAGTTGGTGATCGGAGTGAGTGAGAGGCGGGAACGGGTGTGCTGCTGTGTCTGTGACCTAGAACGACTTCAAACAGCGTGCGGCGTGGGTGGGTGTGGTTCGAGGAGGAAGACGGGGGGAAACCGACAGGGTGGCCATCTTTGCAGCCTTAATATCGCGATGTCGTTACGCCATCACTTATTGAGGCACTGGCGATTGGGGCACCGGGCGTAGTCTAGGGGTGTTGTTGCCACGGTCTTGGTCATCAAAAACGTTTTTTGTAGAGGGGGCAAAGGGCTGAGTTCGGTGGAACCCCCCATGACCAACTAACTAACTGCTCGAACACCGCCGCTTGTTCTCCAGAGGTTTTTTGTTGGCGTCGCGTGTTGTGTAGCGCCATCACAGCACAGGCTAATCCATGCACCCGCCGCTACCGCGCAGTAGATGGGGCCGCCGAGGTGGAACGACAAAGTTGGTGCACAGATGATGTCCACCCTTTCCCACCCGAAACGCCGTATGAGCCGCCAAATCTCTTGACAATAAACTTTTTTAACTGTAGCGGCATTCCGACACACTCACCTTCGGGAGCATCGAAGAGCACTGCCTCGCCGCCGCTTTCCGCCAGCATGCAGAAGTAAGCTCCCTCGGTGAGCGCGTACACGGCGGTGGTGCCCTCGCTGCTGCCGGTGGCAGTGGCGTTGTTTCCCCCGATTTGCTTGTACATTACCGGGTTCGAGTCGTTACCGCTGCTACCACCTGGTATGGGCAGAAAATCCTCCCATACGTCTGGATTAATGGGCTGCGGGTGCAGATAGATATAGCGGGAGGAGCAGTTTGTTTGTCGTCAGCATGGTTGAACTACAGTGTGTTTCATTCACAGGAAAATGTTGCTGTGGCGTACTGCTGCGTACAAAGCGTGGTGGTGTGGATACTTTCGTGCTACCTGCGCTACCCGAAATTAATTGGCTTGATGCCATCTATCCTTTGCGACATGTGTCGGCCTTTATCATGTCGGTTGCGCGTGGTGATTGAACGTGGGTGTTTCACTGGAAAAAAATCTAGGGGACTGTAATCTACAGTACTGAGTTAGAGAGTAGAGGGCAGCAACGACGACCAACCTGTCTGTATTTATAGCCTAACATGATCAGGTTCAGTGAATACCGGCTGATGGTGATGAGGCAGCAGAGCAATCGTTTCGCATTTTGCACATTTGCCGCGTGGCAGTTATGCTGCTAAGTTAAGGTGACTCCGCTCAGAGCACCGATGGAACATCAACCCAAAACTTGCCGTCAGGGAGTCGCATATCCAACCCGTTTCGCCGACGTCTCCCTCACAGCGCTTGACAGACTGGCTCTCGCAGAGCTTGGAGGGGAACGAAATGAAGAGCACTATCGCCGTCACGGCTGCTGCGAGAGGAGAGAGGTGCATGACCAACGATCGCTGCTGCTGTGGCGCTGTAGAAGAGTGTGTGTCGGCGGCGGCGGCGCGGCGGGGCGAGGAAGTTGTCCGATGATAGAATCTGCGGTACATTTGAGGAATCTGAATCTGCCGGCGGGACGATCTTTGCGACACAGCTTGCTGTTACGAACTGTAGAACATGTTCGAAAGAAGGAGAAAACATCAAAAAACAATCTGCGGAACGTTCTTGGTGATGCCCACGATTCTGATGCTGTGCCCAAATGCTAACAGCACAGCACAGCAGCCGTGTAGCACTATGCGTTGACCTATGCACATAAGCCTTGCCGACATTAGGACAGTGCCCTTGTCGTGCGTGTGTATGCTGTTAGTGCCGGTGTGCCCCAGCGTTCCTGTGGGAGAGAGCGAATTCATCATCATCACCTCGAGACGATCCTCTCTCCGCTCCCTCTCCGTTACACAGCAGCAAGGATACCGTATATGACACAAGATAACACACCCCCTTCGCCGTTTTTTAAAGCTCGATTTCTCAACAGCAGCTACCTGTTCACCCGGCAGGTCAGTCTGCCGACGTTCACCAGGAGAGCCAGAAGCCAAGCATGTTTTTGATCAATATCACGCGTGCCGTAGCCCGCAGCAGACATGCACCTCGAAAAATGTGAGACCACTCTCTCACTCTCTCTCTCTCTCTCTCTCTCTCTCTCTCTCTCTCTCTCTCTCTCTCTCTCTCGTACTTGTTGCCGTTTTCTGGTGCGAACGACAGATAAAACGGTGAAGACCAGGGGGGGTAGGGTGAAAAAAGAGTATGCATACTCGTAGTACGACTACAGATGCACATCATGGGTGTTCACGTACGCAACGGAATTGACTCCAGAATTGACCGGAAGCCCCGGTCAAGACCACAAGAAACCGTTTTCAGGTGAGTACCGCGACCTGGCATCTTGAGTCGTTTTTCACGGTATTCTGCTGTAAAAGAGTTTGTCTGCTGTGAGATTGATTGGGATCCAAGTCCGTGGCTGATTTTCATTCCACACATACATACGCATGATCGGTGAGTTGAAAGTTAGAGATGCAGTCGCATGGCATGGCCGTTGTTCGGGAAACAGAAAACGGTGAACGAACGCCTGTTCGAGAAGCCCGGTCGCATCGGAGTATGTGCTGTAGGAACTCTCCTTGCGGGGCCGCGGCAGAAACGACACTACGTGTTGTACTCGATGGTCGTGGCCATCAATCAATGTGGATCCTCGGGGTCAATTTATTGCTGAGGTCGCATGGAACCGCCGTTTTGAGTCACTCAACAACCCCCCCCCCCGGTAACCGTGTTCTTTCTGTCGCACATACGCCTTCCATACCAATCTCCGTTCGTCGTGTGGATGTGACCTTTGAAAGCGTACGGATCTCCAATATCTGCTTGTCGAGAAATATCGATTTCCTCGTTTCGCGTTTGGGGTGTCGAATATTTTCGCTTCTCCTTCATCAAGACCTTCAACAAGTAGACCATATTTCCAGCCCCCCCCCCGCCACCCCATCCACGAAAAAAAACAACCATGAAAACCCGGACAACCTCATCAGCACCCGATTCAATCAATAACATCTCTAGACAATGCGGAGAGTACAAAAAAACGCGCCACCACTCGAAAGTCTCCAATTTCGCTCAACCCTCCCTCCTTCTTTCATCAGTGGGGAACACCAACAGGGAAATCAATCATGGGATTTGTCATATATCTATAGCGGTATCGGAGGTTTCAAGTTCGTCAATTTCGTGAAAACCAAACCCTCAACTTCTAAACCGGTACCACCGTTGGACGGTCCGGCGTTCTTGCAACACGAACAACCCTCTGCATCTCGTAAATCAAGACATGTAACGATGCACACAAAAACAATAGGAAGGGTAAAACGAACGAATGAATGGGTGGCGCACACCTACCAACCCGCGTGTATTTAAGTCCTATATTTCCGCATCCCCTGCCTAACGGCCCGAGAAGATCAACAATTGCATCCCCACCCCTACAGGCTAAAGGTCATCGACCCCTATCGTCATTTTTCTTTTGCAATCAAACAGCTCCCGAATCGTAGCCTGCACTCCGACCGATTCCCAACAAATCACCGTGCCTCAAGAAAAAGCGTACATAGTAGTCCGTTCTCCGACAGACTCAGACGCTTGAGGCAAAAAGAAAAAACACCTCCGCCACGAGCGAAACGGAAAGCGACTGTCGCCACCAAGAACTGAACCTGCTGGGCAAATATCCAGTCCTCGCAACACTCGCATCGTCTGAGCTGATCCGCCAAGGAGGCGGGCAGCCGCACACAACCCAGTGTACTGCTGCCTGTCTCCCCTTGACAACAGTACCCACTCGAAAGACACTATATAACGTATATATTGGTACACACATTTTTTTGCATGGAAGCAAATTTTCTACTCCATTCCGGGAGCAGCTGCCTGTGTGGACCGGCCGCAACTTTCAAGCCTCTGAAAACACTGATGCACCTCTCCCCTTCCAGTGCCGTTCGTCAGGTTGGGTCCGCCAAACCTATGACCCGTCCCCTACAAAAATCCCCCTTCCCCTCCCTCAAGACCGGTAAATTACACACGTGGCGGCAAGATATCGAACCGCCTGTACATTGTAGGTTTGGTGCTCATGCTACTGCCGCAAGCTACATGTAGTGCACCTTGCCTCGAACATCGCGAAGCACAAGACCCATCGTCGCATGAATATTGCCCCCGAAATTACGAACAACCGCAGCAAACAATCAATCCTCTCGCATCCGGCCGGCGCGTACCGATCGGAAATTCCGCGCGAGAAAGCACGCTGCTACTACTAAGTGGCCCGAACGGTCCTCCCTGCCTTGCCTCCCTTGGAGACAACCATGGGGCTCTTGCTGCTGCCGTTATCGCCACGCGAACCACCCCTTGCAGACTGGGGTCCGCTGCGAGAGAGCATGCCGCCGCCGCCGCCGCCACTTCCCCCGCTCGCCGCACCTCGGCTTCCGGCCACCGTCCTTGCCGGCTTTCCTTCGCCGCTGCCGCTCCCGCCACCGCCGAAGAAGAAACCTCGCTCTCGCCCAACGCCACCGCTCCTGGGAGACTTGGATGTTGACCTGGGAGACTTGGGCGTCGACCTCGGAGACCTGGACGCCGACCTCAGCCCGCCTCCCCCTCTGGGGGACCTTAGCGGCCCCGGCGACTCAACCGGCACGCGGGACCTACTCCCCGCCCTGGGCAGGCTAGCGGGCGAGAGGGTCGGGATTGTGGCGCCGAGCGACCTCGCCGCTTTCGAGGTCTTGAACCGCGCCGACGGGCCGGTAGAGGAAGGCGCCGGCGGGACGACCGCCATTCTTTCGGAGGCCGGCGACAGGGCCACGGCGGCCGCCGCGGTAGCGGCCGCCGAAGCGGGGACGGCCCTGACCTTACGCGGCAAGACTCCGGCCCCCGCCGCCGCTGCGACCGCTCCCGCCGCCGCCGCCTTTACCGCCGCCGTCACTTCCTCCTTATGGGCCGGGGAGAGCCGGGTGGCGAGCGGGGACAGCGAGGGCGACGGAGATGGCGACGAGGAAGACCCCGCGGTGGCGACCTCCAGCACGCGAGAGCGGGCCCGTCCCCGGTGCGGGTCACTTCCCGCCGCCGACTCCGTCGTTGGTGCCGCGGTTCCCGCCTTCGCAGGCGCGCCGACACCGCCGGCCTTGCCTGGCGGGGGCGGCGGTGCTGCTGTAGCACTAGATGGAGAGGCACGGCTCCCAGAAGGCGTCCGCTTGTGGGGCTTGTTCCGACGGATAGCGCCGGCTACCGCTGCCCGAGGCGAGGGCTTCGCTCCCTTCGCCGTTCCAGCAGTCTCGGCCGCGGCGCTGGCCTCCTTCGCCGCGCGGACGGCATCGCGCTCCGCGGCCCTCCTGGCTTCCACTCGAGCGGCCGCCCTCTCGACCGCGGTGCTCGCGTTGAGGTTCCTCGAGTCACCGTTCCGGTTGCCAACACCGGCAGTACCCCCACCACCACCAGCGCGAGCGGTGGCGGCAGAGGGACGCCCTCCACCGACAGCAGACGCAGACCGCTTGTCCACGCTCTTGTCAACCGCACGGGCGCGGTCGCCGCCGCCGCCGCCGCCGCCAACACCACCGCCACCGGGGGTGGCCGCACCCCTCGGTTTCGCCCGCGTGCCGGCACCACTCGTCGCTGCGGCAGCGGCGGCAGTGGCGTGCGAGGCATCGCTGGAGTTGTTCTTCCGGCCGCCGTTGCCCGTGAAGCCCCCGTTGATCCACCCCTTGAGCCGGTTGAACGAGTCCTTCACCTGGTACTTGCCCTTACGCGGGGAAGGGGAAGCACCGCCGCCGCCGCCGCCGCCGCCGCCGCCGACCATCGAACGCCGGTCGAAGGAACCGCCACCCTTACCCCGCTCGCGCGCGGTTCCTCGTGCGACGGCCCCGCGCCGAGCCCTGCCGTCCTCGGCAGCCCCTCCCGACGTCCGAACGCCGGACAGGGTCATGGCAGCGTCAGCCAGCTCCACCGCGGGGTCCATGACGCCCTCGTCGATGGAGCGCGGAAGCATACCGGCGGACGTCGAGCGGCGGTGGTGCCCGCGAGCCGGACGCGGAGTGGTGGAGGAGGAGGAGGAGGCGGGGACCCCCGAGAGGGGCGGAGCGCCTTCGACCTGTTCCTGCGGGAGAGGAGTCGGTCAGAAGGTGAGGACAACCGGAGGCGGGTCAATTGCCTGGTATGAGGGCCGGCTTTCTCGGCACGGATAAGAGGGTGACGTGCCCGGCTTCGAGGTTTCACACGTACGGATGGAAAACACAGCCTACTGTGTGTGCAAAGAGTATGAGCCGACTCCTTGCGGAACACTAAATAGAGGACCGTGGGAATCTCAAATCATGGTCCGGAGGGCTCAAAATCTCTCAAGTTCAAAACCTCCCTAAATGAACAGCTTTATAGGGATCATTTGAACAGACCATCCAATCAAGTCGTCTGGGCTAGGCCATTCTTCCAGTGCCGTCTTCAGGGTCAAGGGCACTTTGCCCGATCGGAACGTATCGGAGATTTCAGGGTCCTGGGGAACAACATCTGCACCTACGTTTCACAAGCGAGTAGGATGGTCTACAGAGACAAGTGGAAAAATTTCTGTCCGTTCTTTGCCGAAGCAAATGGCTAACCGCTATGAATATGTTGGTGCTCTGTGGAACCAACCGCCGGCCGGAATCTGAGATGAACTGTTGCCAAGAAAGTGAGGGGTTACATATATGCCGAGCGCCTAGACCAGAATAATCCTTACCAGCAAGAGCACGGACTGCCGTACACTACCGTGTTGCAGGACCAACCCAAAACCATGCGAAACGACCCTGTACAGTAGCGGCACGAATCGTTACCGTAGGTAATCCATCCTGTCACCTGTGCCGACGTCAACAGGTCGGAAGGAGTGATTATGTCCGCGCATATGCCCTCGACCCGAGCAGAGCTGAGTCCTCCATCTCGCAGCTCCGGCGGCGGCGCCGAAGAAGAGAGCCTCCTGCAACCCCTACTAGCGCCGCCGTTCGATTCTTCGGGTCCCCTCACCCGGTCCCGCCCGCGGCGATCCTCTGCCTCCTTGCTGCGGGGGGATTGCCTCTCCTTCTGCCTCCTCTGCTGAGACCCTACCCGCCGCAGCTGCTGCGGCTGCTGTGAGGACGGGGACGCCCTCGAATAACCGGCAGCAGCGGTAGTCGCGCCACCACCGCCGCAGCCAACGTCGTCGCCACCGCCGCCACCGCCGCCACCAACTCTCGCCTTGGACGATTTCGTCGGCGCGGAGTAACCGGCTGGGGCCGGCGCCGCTCTTGGGGCCGATGCGAATCCGGGCTTCCCCGCCGACCTGGGGGACCCCGCTCCTTGGGCCGATGCGAATCCGGGCTTCCCCGCCGACCTGGGCGACCCCGCTCTTTGGGCCGGTGCGAATCCGGACTTCCCCGCCGACCTGGGCGACCCCGCTCCTTGGGCCGGTGCGAATCCGGACTTCGCGGCCGTCCTGGGCGACCCCGCTCTTTGGGCCGGTGCGAATCCGGACTTCGCGGCCGTCCTGGGCGACCCCGCTCTTTGGGCCGATGCGAATCCGGACTTCGCCGCCGTCCTGGGCGACCCCGCTTTAGCGCCCGCCACCGCCATCGCCGCGGTCGCCCTGGGCCTACCGCCGCCGCCTGACGCCGAACAAGGCGCGCCGGCGGAGGGCGTCGGACGCGGAGCAGAAGAAGCCTTCACCCTCCGGTCGCCCGCATTTTCCTTCGTCAGGGTCGTGCTCACACCCGCCCATGTCGCCTTTGCCGTCGGCGCGGACCTGGGGCTCACGGGGGCGGTGGCTTCCCTCCCCTGCCTCCACCCTCTCCCGCCGACCCTACCGGCAGCAGCCCCGTCCGCCCTCGCTTCCACCCTCTCCTTGGGCAGGCCCAGCTGTGCCGTCGTGGAGGAAGACGAGCACGAATCAAACCCCGTAGCTTCCGCCGCCGCGGCGGCAGAGGCGAGAGTCCGGGCGGAGAGCGACGCTCCCGCGCCGCGGGGAGCGGCAGACGGGGGAAGCATCGTGGTCGATTCCGCAACATCGGCGGCAGCACCAGCATCAGCACCAGCCGGAGACGGAGGGTTTGTCGGCGGCGACGGCTCCTCCGTCAGCGGCGGGGGCTTATTCTCGTCGCCACCAAAGGAAGACGAAGGCACCACCGCAGTCTGGAGAACCCCCGGCGCCAGCGAGGCCGCCGCTGGCTCAACGGCCTGGCCGGCCAAGGGCGTAGCTTCGTTCGGCTTGCGCTCACCGAAGGCGTCTTCGGAAGCAAGGACACGAGCAACCCGCACCGGCTCGTCGTCCACCCTGCCTCTCTCGGCTCCGCTCCCGGCGCTGGCCTGGAGCGTACCCCTGAGACGACAAGTGCAGGGCAAAACATTAGGATCCAAGCAACGGGCGGGAAAAGGGGCGGTAAACACGAATGAAAATCTCTGTGCACAACGCCCGCTTGCGAGATATTTTCATCTTACGGGCCCCGCTGTGTCTGGAGGTGACCTGAGCGAGCGCAAAGGGGGCATGGTGCGGGGCATGAAGCCGAACACAGCCGACTGAACACCCACGAAATTCTACAGGGGCATGAAGCTCCTTTGAAAGGGTGGTCAGTATGGTGAGGTGACTGACCAACTTCTCCGGGATGAGTAGTCTTCCCACAGCAAGAAGCTGACGACATGTGACTCACTGCCAATTTTCTGTTCGTGTTCTTCGGACACAAACGACGAATCAAAAGTTCCGGGAAAAATCTACACCCATTTGTTCCCGTAATAAGAAACGAAAATATCACGACATACAGTACTCCAATTGAATGATTCATAGCCCCGTCGAGGGGCTTACACCAAAAAACGAATGGGACGTCGTGTTCTCAGAGGAAGACATAAGACGCACCTCGCGGAAAGCCTATGCTCGTCCTCGACCTCTCCCTTTTCCTCCTGCCGGGTCTCTTTCCCCGCACCCACGTCGCCGCCGCCACCGCTCTCCGTTGCTCTCGCGGGCGACTCGCATGGGTCCGACACCGCCCCCTCTCCATCTTCCCACGCAAGCAGGCTCTTGCGGCGGTTTAGCTCCTGTGCGTGAAACCAAAAGGAAGGACAACAAACGGAAAAGAGTAATTCCCAAAATATTTCCCCGCAGTGAGGGTACAAGAGAACTCGACGAAAACACGTTGGTGAGGGTTTACCGTCTGAACGTGTCGTTCCCGTGCTTCAAAACAAGAATTATTGCGGAGGAGAACAACGCGGAATGCACAGGGAGCAACAAAGTCTCAACAGTCAGACGACGACGCGACAACGTACAGCGCCCAGCAACGATCGCAAGATAAAACAAACACATGAGACACACCCCAAAACTCCCGTCCTAACACGCTCAAGGGTCACGAGCGCCTGCGCGTCAGGCGAAAACCCCAAGAGCACGAAACTACCCCATCGACCGCGCCTCTGGTCCCACGTCTCGTGATCCACAGCCTCATCGAATGCCATCTACACAACTCTTCATTCAACAATGGATAAACGACCAAAAAAAACTCACCGCTATCACGGCTTCCAGGTCGTTAGCTACGCCGAGGCGCCGCTCCTTGTCGTGCTCGAGCTTCCCATCGCCCACTCTCGGGGGCCGCACCAGCGCGGCCGGGTCAACGGCGTGACCCACGACCATGTCCGCGCCGGGCCCCCGCGCCATCCCACCGCCACCGCGACTACGGCCGCCGCCACCGCTCTTCCCCCCCTTCTTGGGTCCTTGCGCTTGTTCTTCTTCTTTCTCCGCCGCTTTCACGGCGCCTTCTCCCTGCCCTCCTGTCGCAGCAGGCGTTCGCCCAGCCCCGGTATCGCCTCCAGACGCGGAAAGGGGCTCGCCAGCACCCCCCCAGACAACGCCGCCGCCGTCGCCGCCGCCGCCGCCGCCGCTAGCACTCGGCACGGTGACCGCCACCGAAGCGTTGGATTCGAAGTACGTGCTCTCCAACGACTTGCGCGGCAACGTGTTGAAAGAAGCCAGCAGCGACCCCCTGTTGATAGCACCGCCAACGGGTAATCGGTCAGTCCCAAGTCAGCAAGCACGTGGCGTGAACACGTCGGTTTCGAAAGTTCGGGCATACGGGCTTACGAGGTGAGGTATCGTGGCGCCTTGTAGCAAAACGAAGGGGGGTATCACATGCAGGGACCCACTTCGTCTACACCGACACTCTCCATTCGCCCTTGAAAGGACCGCGCCAACTCCACGCACAGGAGTCGTCACGACACGCCGCCGTCAATCAAATCCCCAAAATATATAACCTTTCCCACAGAGCGTGCCGCACAGAGGAACACCCAACGAATAGAAAACCACACACCACCTCTCACCTCGCGTCACCAACCCCCGAACAAAACGCGGAAGAAGTGACCGTGCCGTAAGACGCCTCCCTTCCGGGGTTCGCGGTGCTCGCCGCACCCCCGACCTTGTCGTCCTCGCCCGCCCAACTCTTCTCCTCAGGCTTCGCGGTGGCGGCGACGGATGCGGCGGCTCCGGGGCACACATCGGTTCCGCCGCTGGCGCCAACTTCGGTGACCTCATCATCGACCCCTACCCGTGGCTGAACCGGGGACTCCCCCCGCTCCTCGTTCTCCGCCTCGTCTTCCTCCGGCGCGGAAGTCAGCTGCTGCGGCGGTGCGCGGGCGCACCCTTGCTCCGCCCTCTCGGCGGTCCTACCCCTGCCTTGCTCCGGAGGCCCCGCCGCCGCCGCAGTCGTAGAAACAACAACCTCCTGGTTTTCGCTCCCGCCGCCGCCGCCGCCGCCGCTGCTAACACGACCGCCGCTCACCTTGCTGCTGGTGCTCGACCTACTGCTACCACCCCCTCTGGTCCAGGACCCAGGGCCGCGGACGGGACCCGTACCGAGACTGAAGGCCGAGTTGGAAGAGCGACGCCCGGAGGACGACGAGGACGAGCTAATGCTGCGGCGGGGGCCACCGCCGTTTTTCATCGCTCCGGCGCCGGCGCCGGTGCCGGCGGGGGACTGGCGGGCCTGGCGGAAAAAGAGCGACGGTGATCAATAATGGTGCCGTTCGCCGTTTTCGACCGCGGGGAAATGACGAAAATAAAGGGCACTAGAATCGTCGGGAAAAGGCGCCAACGGAAGACAGAATCGAAAAGCCGGGGTTTAAAGTCCCCGCGAAACGTTCAACTTCAGTGCCCAGGGAGGAATCGCGGCGGTGAGGCTCAAAACCTGAAGCAGGGGCAACATCGTCAACAGGCCCACAAACTCGGCGCCATACACTTTCGCCGATACAAAACTGTCAGCGAAGAAAGTACAATACGCACCAATTCCAAATCGCTGGATGCCCACACGACGTTCCCATAGCTTATCCACTGCGTGCTGTGCCGTTAGCTATCCTTGCCGATACGTCACGGCCAGCAAAAAAAAAAAACGCACCAGTATCCACAAAATTCCCACTCCGCCACATGCCCACAAGGAACGTGTCCGAAACTTACCCACTGCATGTTGTGCCGGTGCAAGGCCGGAGACGGTGACAGCGATCGAGTGCCCCCTCCGCTCACGGGGAACGATTCGTCGCTTGCGGCCGCTCGCCGCCGCTGCTGCTGTAGTCCCGTGTGCCCATGCCGAGTGGGCGAGTGCTCGAGAAGAACGCCTGGGCCGTGGTTGTCCAAGTCTGGGGGGAGGCGGCGACAACAAGACGGTTTCACACGAAACGGGCCCGACGTTTACGAGGAAAATAGCAAAGCTTTCGTTCACCATAGAGTAGGTAGGGTGTACGTGTATGGTACGCTATTGAAATCACGCCGAGACATGAGGGAAACGTGAAGCGATCACCGCTTCGTGTCGCTCGCTCGCCACCGCCTCAACCGATGGGTCTCCTCATACCTCGCACAGAACCAGACCAGTCGCGGGGATGTCCGTCTACGTTTCTGTCGCACACCAATCAACTAAACACCCCATCCACCTCAACGTCAACCACACCAGCAGCATCTTACCGCAATCGCAACAACACCACGCAGCAGTAGAAAAACAGCACAACCTCAACAACAGCACAGCCACAGCAGCAGCAGCAGCAAGACAGCGCATTCGCAACAATACCACAAGCAAGAGTCAGCCACGCACCCATGGCGAACTGCGGCGCCTTCCATGAGCGGCCGCTGTGGGCTTTGGCCGTCCCGCCTCCACCGCCGCCCTCGCCGATCGGCGGGGACATGAACCTCGGGGAGGTTGACGACGGCGGCAGCCGAAAGCGGGATGGCGACAGGAAACCGGCGGCGGGGTCCTGCGAAACAAAGCAACACGCCGCCACACGTGACGACAGCAAACAGTAGTACCGATCGGTTAGCGCAAGCCGGGACAGCGGGTCATGCATTGCAACAAGAGAAACAGACAATACGGCGGGTATTCAGGGGCTTCCGACAGTTGTACACGTGCCGTAGCAGCGTTCACCGCGAGCAACTTAAGGATGGGTCGCGGGAAACCTGACAAAATGTTTCTGTACGAAAACTTATACTGCGAAGAACAGTGAAAACACCCAAGTTGGGGTTAAACGGAAGCACAGGATGTCGAGGTGCGGTCGGAGTCAACGCACGAAACACTACCCCCCTTCGACCCACTGTCGAACAAAGAATTCCCATTCTCATTCTTTCTCTCTCGCACACACACACACACACCCGCCACTAGTTTCAGGCTTCATATCTTTACCGGAGGCACCTGATTGCCTCTGACCTACTGTCTCCCAGCCCAGCTTCGACCCACTAAACAAATCACGGCAACGATCAAGAACACCAACACACCTCTCCCCTCGTGGACGTTGACGCGGCGTCATCGTCACAGCCGCCCCCCTTCCCGCTGCCTCGCCCGCCGCCCAAGCTGCTCCCGCTCGATTCGCCAGAGTCGTGCTGCTGCTGCAGCTGCTGCTGCTGCTGCGCTTGGTTCGACAGCAGCGAGTCGCGGTCATGATCCCGCTCGCCACCCCCACTCCCACCCCCGCCGCCCCCGGTCCTCGAAGACCCAACCGATGAGGTCGACATGCGCCGTCCGCCCTTGGGGGACAATCCCTCCGTGAGGTAGTCCAGCTGCCCGGTTTCTGTTGTTGAGCGTGCCAGGCGCAATGCCAACGGGAAAAAATAAATTACACAGTACAGTAGTGGAAAAGAGAGGGGACAACCCGCCGGTTCACAAGGCGGTCGGCGGGAGGGGCACGGCAACTAAGGTGGCTGCAAGTGCAATCTAGATCGTGGCGAGCTACGCTTTACGCTCTCATGGACTGAAGGGGGAGGTTGGGTGCTGTTCGGGTCCTCACTTGAAACATTTATCAGTAAGAGCTTCGGTTCGGTTTGCTCGAGGGGAGGGGGGGGTGTACTGATAGTCGTGCGTGCCGTAGTCGTTAGACCATTGACCTCGCATCCCTACCAAGCCGGGACGGAGCACGCCGGGTTCTCACCGGACCAGGCTCTCACATCACCAAGCGCGAAGCACCGTGAGGTATTCGGCGAGTTGCATGAAGGGTGGTCGGCATCTTGTGCTTACTTCCTTGCGTGCGGATGACAGCTGCGTATGACTTAATTTATTTTCTGGTGCTTTTACTTCCAGAGCCCAGAGACAGTTATAAGCACTGCTGTGCAACTGCCTCGAGGATGCTTTACCATATTAACACAGCGTGGTGCGCCCATCCCCCTTGCGCGGAGTGAGGATTATCGACCCCGCACAACATGATCTACTCGACCACCACTATGGTTACCGCCAAAAAAAAAAACAGAGGTAAAAAAAAACAAAAAACGGTAACCTGGTCGCCGAGTTCACGGCGTGAATTGGCTTGTTTTACAACGTCGTTGCCAAGCGACGAAAACCCAACCCCGATGGCAAACCCCGGCGGCGGGGCGGGGGGGGGGAGGAAGGGTTTGCTCGAGGGGCGAGGGGTGAAGGGATAATGGCATCGATTCGTCGAAAACGTTGCAGCATAAAATGAAGAGGGCGGCGTTATCAAACACACAATACAATAAACCAAGCTGAGCAGCCCCGATCGAGGGTGGCAGGAAGCGAGAGGGGGCACAAACTGAACCGGTATGTCTCGGCGGCAACACCCTCAAGGCTCGATCAAAGCCGTATGTACAAAGGATAAAAGCAGCAGCAGCAGCAGCAGCGTCAAGACAACCACCCAGAAACCGACTCACCCTCATCCAGGGCGCACCAGCTAAGCTTCTGGCGGTACCTCTCATCCTAAATCGGTGACCATCCGCCGCCCCGTCCAAGTAGCGCATCGAGTACACACGGAGAGAGAGAGAGAGACACACACACAGAGAGAGAGAGAGAGAGAGACAGACAGACAGAGACAGAGACAGAGGGGGAGAGAGGCGAGGCGGGAAAGGAACTCCGAGTTGGGAATTATGCGGCCGCAAATGCACTGAGTTGTTTCAACATGAGGTGGATTACCTCGCAGCAGCTGGCGCTTGCAACTTCATGGCCAACTACTGCTGTAGTGCTTCCGTTGCCCAGCAACACAAAAAGGGGAGGCAAGAAATCTGCAACTGACGCCGATGCGGCGTTGTTTGCATACAGTGGGGTTCCCTGTTTAGTGCCGGTATGTGCCCAGAAAATTCCCTGGCGCTACTTACCGGACCGGCACTACATACCACCAGACAATGTAGTGTGCCCGCCGAAAACGCCGGTGCTATACCGGGCATTGGCACTACTACCGTATATGACACAAGATAACACACCCCCTGGACCGATTTTCAAAGCTCGATTACTCCACGACGAAGAGGATGCATAAATGAAACAATACGTTTTCGAACAGCTCTCGACGAGACGGTTCCAACGCCGCCGTTTTCGGCGCTGTGACTCTTCCTGCTGTTGAGAAATCGAGCTTTGAAAATCGGCCAAGGGGGTGTGTTATCTTGTGTCATATACGGTATTCAACCGGCACTTCAACAGAGACCCCCTCTGTACTACTTCAATAATAGCCGGGACGGAAAGACGAAACGGGAAAAGTACGTATTTCTCCGCCCTGACTTCGACACGATACCGTCACACAAGCACGCTGGAGAGGTAGACATGGCAGCACGGCCACTGCAACGGCCGATCGGATTACTTGTAGCGGATGTGCGTAGCCAAACACGTGTGCACAGAAAAGATACTGTCATCTGGCCCCAATTGGATAAAAAACGAAAAAACACTGAATTCTACACTACTGCTGTATGTCGCGAGCCAGGGACGACATGCCTCACAGATGTACACACAGGGAAAGATGTACACACACACCTCTGTCAGATACAAACGTGTGCACCAGCACCAGCAGTCCCTGTGAATGTGTGTGCCTACGATGCGTGGTTGTACGTGCGAGCCGTTGTACGCTATACTGCTGTACATGTAGTCACACTACCGTGCTTGCATCTCGCGCTACACAGATACACTTTATATATGTAGATGAAATCAGCGTGATTACCGTTGCAGGTCCCGTTAGGTACATACAGCAGTACAGTATATGATGAAATTCATCTCTCGTTTCTTGGGGCAACGAGCCGCTACATGCTGCTTAGCTTTGTTGATCTCCCATCGGTCACCTGCCCGCGGATCGACTATTAATAATAGTTATGCATATGAACAACTAAATGCCGCTGGGTAGACGATGGACTACTGCTGTACTTGTTGCACAGAAGCGCGGCATCGCCCAGCAGCACGAAGAGACTCCGTCCTCGCCCGGGTGCCTCTGGTTCCGTCATCTCTCCGGTCGCAACGCGATGCACCCCAAGTTATGCCAGGTCTATGCACACTTTCCGAAACACCGAATCGATACTGGGGGCGCGTGTTGAATATGCACACGACCCAGCAGAGTTTGCTTCGCATCAAAATGTACACACATCGAGGTTGCATGTGTGCTTGTATGGGAGGACAGGCTTGGGGGCAAGCGGCGAATGTATATGTAACGCCAGCGGTGACTGCGCAACACGCAAGGCCGGAGACTGTGGTTATGTCGAGCGAAGTCACACCTGGTCCCTGCTGCCGCTGGTGCATCAGCCGCAGCAGGACAGCAGCACAGCAGCACAACGATCATACGACAACAGACAGCAGCAGACTCACAAATTTGCCAGGGCGATCCGTGATGAAGTTCTGGTAGTTCTGGAACCTGAAGGAGGTGTGGCGACGCTTGTCCATGTCGAACATCAGGTCGTCCAAGGTTCCCGCCGCGCGGCTCTTGCGATAGGGATTCGGTCGCTTCAGCATGGTTAACTAGAGGGTCGATCAGAAGATGAACTTTGGTGCTGGCCCTCCCCTGCTGCTGCTCCTGCTGGTGCCGCTGTTGTGCTGTCTCTCTTTCTCGCGCTCCCGCCTCCGCCGCGGTCGTGCCAGCAAGTGCAGCCCCACAGATACAATCCCGGCACCAAGAGGCAAGCAACACCCGCGCTAGGATAACCCCTTCGTTCGCTCTCTGCCGAAGCGAGCCAAGCACCGCCCTCTCTCTCTCTCTCTCTCTCTCTCTCTCTCTCTCTCTCCTTGCTGCGATGTGTACTATATCGATCGCTGCGGTACGCGGAAAATTGCGCGATCCTTGCAACCACCGCGCCGTGCGCGCCAAAAAGATGGGGTCAACGGCTCTGCGCCGTGTTCATCCCTTGACTCTCTGTAGCACCACCGAGCTCCCCACACGCACCACTGTTAAAGGCGGGTGCTGTGGCTGCTGTCGATTTCCCTATCTTCCTTGTTATTTCCCGTAGCGACGGCAGTGCAAGCAAGGTGTTCGGTGTATCACCCAATTCCTGTCATCTCACACAAGCGCAGAAAAAACACCAACGGCCAACGGCCACGGCCACAATTTCGCCGCATTTTTGTAACCGTCAACGGTCAACACCAGTGTTGTTTATATATATTTTTCTTAATATGAATCGTCTTCGTGGAAGACCTCAGCGAACGCACCGCGTATGTGTGGTGAACGAGCACGCAGGAGAACCCCAACCTTCGCTCGGCGCTCTTCTTCCATCACCCAACGAACCCCGCAACGCTCACTTTTGTTGATCGTCAGCACCATCATCGTGTTCTCTGCGTGTGTGTTGGATCAATACCAGTCGGTGGCGAACATCAGAGAAAAAATAATCACTCTGCCGGGTAGCTCCAACCCGTTGTGCGACGAAAGGGTTCCTCTCCCTCAGACCCCTACCCACTCCTCCTGCGGTGCGAGAAGAGGGCAGCACTCTATTCCCTCAAATACACGAACTACAGTAATGTGAGCGCTTAGACTTGCTACGTAGGAAATACTGTGATCGATGTCCTCCTACACATACATGTACCTCAAAAATGCGTGGTGGAAATGCGTGCTAGGTGGCACCCATCGTTGATTTCGCGCCCATCGGTGTCATGGCACCGGGTGCGCAAAAAAAGCAAGAACGGCATGATGTATTTGCATGTCCACACCGGTATCGGTGTCAACGCGCCCGATGAGATATGAACGATATAAAAAATCTGCCCAGGACGTACCAAAATCCGTGCTTCCGCAAGGTACCGGTACCCTCCGGCCTACGTTTTTTACTGCATGTAACGAACGGCTGTGAGGGTGCTGGCAGGTATCAATCGGGGCGCCATTCCTAATGTTTATTGATGGTTCCGTTCACGTGTGCGTGTAGAAAACATTCGAAAATGGCTGCATTGATTTCTTGCGTCCGTACCCATCGGTGTCATCGCACCAGGGGTACGTTGGAAATCTACCATAGAACGAATGACATAATTGCATCTCTGGGGTACGATAAAAAGTCAAGATAGGAATGATTTAGAGAACGATCGCATCCCCATTACAAGGTACTGAGCGGCGACCGGAACGGTTTTTGATGTGAAGATAACAGCAACAGTAAGAACTCCGGCGCCATAACACGCACTACAATCACGGTATCTTGAGATAATGCGTTCACAGCGCCGAGACGCGAGCGAGAGAGGTGCTGGAAGGTAACCAACCAAACAGGGAAATGTGTGTTCCACGACCGAAACATGGGTGATAGGCTTGCCCGCGGGGCACAGAGACGGAAAGACACACCAAAAACGAGCGTCGGAAGCCCGAACCCACAGGTCGGTACGTTGAATGGATGCACAAGTAGCAAGAACAAGCGTCGCCGACGGTCTCGCTTTGCTTTACGCTGCTTCTCTCTCTCTCTCTCTCTCTCTCTCTCTCTCTCTCTCTCTCTCTCTCTCTCTCTCTCTCTCTCTCTCTCCCGGTATTGCACGTCACAAAAAGCTTTATCATGAAAGTTGAGAATACGCGTCATGTTAGCACAATCGCGGTTCTTCCGTGCCCGGACTTCCTTCCACCTCTTTACGAAAAAAGAATATCCAGCTGCACTATGTACTACAGTACTATGTACAGATTACCTATATCTGCCTGATGAAGGCTTGACAATAAAAACAGTAGCGTGGCGGATTTGCACCTCTTGTCCTCGACAAACCTTGATTATTCAGGCATTCAGGCATTATCTACCTCCAAAGCTGATCCTAAGCGGCCGAAGCCTGACAACTAGACCAAGATGCCTACGTTCGCCACGTGGTCTTAGCCATGAATATCATTCGCGCGCCAGAGGGTAGATCGCCAGGAAGCCCGTCATTATTCAGGCCTGCCGGTCCTCCCCCTTCTGTTCCCCGACAGGGGTGTCATGTTCGAGGCAGCAGTTCCCCTGCCCTGATTGGTGCCCCTTTCACGATTGGCGCTGCCATCACGGCCGTTCCGCCCCCCACGCGACCCCCCATCGGCGCTGCTTCCTCCTCTCGAGCTCGATCCGCCACCGGCGGCGCTAGCGCCAGATCCGCTGCCGCCCACGTAGACGACGTCTTGGGAGGCGTTATTGGGGCCTGCTCCTCCGCTGCTGCCATTCTTGCTTTCATCCTGGAGGCGTGTTTACGGCCGGGTGAAGACGAGAGACCCGGGAGAATGCCCACCACACGGTCAAAGCTCATACATATCATTAGTAAGTTGATGGGGGTTCATTACTGTTTCTCGGAAGGGATCCATCCAAACTCAGGTCAGTTCAGTATCCGGCAGGGATCACTCGCCCTTCATCACTACTGCAAAGATTGCAACGAATATGCTCCGGGAAAACCCTTCGAACCGATAGTCTTTGTGTGATATTCGATGAAGTGTACAACACATTCTAAAGCCGAATACAGCAACAACGTGTTGGAGCGGGAGAACGTGCACAGAACGTGATACTACACTTGTATTGCCCGGTTACCTTGCACCAACATGCGTTCGTACAAGAAGTAACCGTGTGGGAAGTGTTCGTGCTACTCACATCGTCAATTTCGTCGAGGGCAACCAGGAGGGGGCCGCTCTGAACCTTGCGGCCGATCTCTTCCAGAAATTTCTTGAACACCTCCTGGAAGAAGATAACCTTCTTGTTCATGTCTCGCCTCGGATTCCCTGTGAACGTTCGCATCGCCGCATGTTCCTCGTCCCAGACGCTCATAAGGTTTGCACCCAGGGCGATCACGGGAAGGCCATAGAAGTGGCTCAACGCGCTGAATTGATTGAACTCAGGCACCTTCGCGAGGATCGAAGGCCAGGTATCGGGTTGGCCGGGCGTGCCGGCCATGCCAGCGAGGCCCTGGATCTTGTGCATGTCCTGGCTGATTTCACGTAGCTGGCTTTCGATTCGAGTCATCCAGTATCTGAAGTTCTTTGCCGGCTTGCTCCTGATGTGCGTGTACCTGTTGACCGAAATTCCCAGAATGCGAGGGTTATCCTTTGGAATCTGCACGTCTCGAGCCAGCCCGGCGTGGCTGGCCGTATTGCGGGCGTTGAACCGCGTGGTGACCCAGTCTGCCATGATGAAGGGAAGAGCCTTGATGGCGTTGTGGCAGTACGTGTCCGGCGTGCACGGCAGGAAGAGGTAGTCGGACGTCAGGATGATGTGCATGTTGAGCTTGCCCCTGTGGGGATTGCAGTCGACGAGGACGATGTCTGCCCCGCAACTGCGCGCGGTCAACGCCATGAGCTTATTCCATGCACCGGGAGCTATTGCCTCGACCAGGAGGTTGGTCCCGTAGGCGACCGTGACTTTTTGCTCGTAGTCAACCAGACCCTCGTGTCCGGGTAGGAGAAATAGCCCCCCTTGGCAGCCTTCAGGCAACGGAATCTTGGTGACGTCAGCTGGACCCCACTGCACCATTGGACTATCGCTGCCAGCAGGCTCAAGAACCGGACGCAAAGCGTCTTTGATGTTGTTCTTCATGTTTGGGCGGCCCGGCACCTGAAGAACTCGTCCGAACGACGTCGACGGGGTACGTGGGAGGGGCGTCAGTTTCTGCTCGGTACAAAAACATGCTCCGCTGGCGAAAAGCGGCAGTGTCGGCGGAGAAGGCTTGTTTGCCACGCTTCACGTTGGCATGATGGCAGATGCATGTTGGAAATTTAGACCGACGTGGTGTTCAAGCTTTGTTGGCTGCTGGATGGATGTTGCGGGAGTCATCCCAACATGGTCCTCTTTCACTCAAACAGCGTAAAACGTCGTGGCTTTCCAAGAAATCTAGCTTCCCGCTGCAACTGTTTAACGGGGATACCAATCCACAAAGACAAGCCCAAGAAAAATATCCAGTCTACGAGACCTGAGAGGGGCATGCGTCATGCATCGTCTCGTACGGGGTTGATCAACGCGGGATACGAAGGAAAGAAGCCCTTGACAGAGTTCTGAGCGTGTTTCGGTGAAAACCGTGACAAAAACAACACCAACAGCGACAACGATGTCAAAGAAGATACAAACGCATAAACTTCAAGCTCATCACCTCCCCCCTCTGTCGGTTCTGTTAAATACTGCGAGGAGACGTTCTTTCGCACAAATTGGCATGCTTCCTCCGAGGAGTCACAGTGGCAGGGGAGGAATGGTCACGTTGTTAATTCATGATTCTCGCAGCTGACCCACATCATGCCGAAAGCTGCACGGCCGCAACTCTCTGCGATACCGCACACCGCATTCGACGCCACACGCCACACCAAGAGTTATTTTCGCGGCTGGAGGTGGGTCGCATAGTACGGCCCTGTGGTATTGTAGTGTCATACCAACGCCCTCCACAAGCACCGTACCATACATCAGGCGCTACTGCTGTAGTGTCCCACCGGGGCACGTTATCAATTCATCCTGTTTGTGGTGTTTTCCGAGATTGTTTGGTATGTACCGCGTACCACAGGCGGCAATCCTGCGGCGCGCAGTCTCTCTCTCTCTACCCCCATTCACTCGGAGATATGAGTGAAGATTCTCTTCGCCGTTCATTAGACTATTATGGTATGGTCTAAGGACCGTACGCACATGCAATCGTGGTCGTGGACGGCGGGGAGCCTCGCGTATAGTTCGCCGCCACCAAAGTTAGCTGCTGTAACCCAACAGCAAGCGCAAGCACGCACCTACCTGGTGATTGAAGAAGAGGTCGTAATTTTCCTCGCCGGCCTCTGTTTCCTCGGATGTCTGCTTATTCTTCACCCATTCTTTCAAGAGCAGGTAGGAAAGGTCGCACTGTGGGTCCGCGTCTACCAGGAGGACACGCTTCCCCTTCAAGGCAAGGGTGAAGCCGAGGGAATGAGTGGTGGTGGTCTTCGCGACGCCTCCCTTCCGATTCCATATTGCCATGGTCTTGAAGCTGTGGCTCTCCCCTAGGTGCGGTAGGTCTTCGGAAGGCACGGGGTACACGGCCTTGACTGGTCGCTCGAATCGGGGGAATACAGGAGGCATGTCGCGCCTTTGTCAATAATACTTGTTGTAAACTGTTTTCGTGGTGGAGACCGCTATTATTAGCTCTGCTCTCGTCTCCCCTGGGATGAGCAACTCGTTTAGATCCCTTTCGCGCCAGTGGACTGTTCGGGTGTGTCGGCTCTGGGCACCCCCAGAGTGAGTGCAGTGAGGAAGTCACAACTGTTCACTCCGAAACGGTACGTCATATTTCGGGCTTGCCAGCTTCAGATGTGTGTGTACTGTAGGAGGTAGGTCCAGATTATGTGTTTGCGATGTAGCGGTAGCACGTACAGTGAGGTGGAGCACGTGTGTGTGTCGGTTCAGAAAACATGTAGACCAGAAGTACTTGATTGGAAAATGCGAGAACAGCGCAGTATTCTCGTCGCCCTGTGCACACACGATAAAAAAGGTGTGCTGATTAGACTTTCTAAGCTTGGAGGGGTCTCGACGACGGTTTGAGCCCCACACAAACATAACGCGACTACGACACAACGGCACCAGCCAAGAGTCGAAAACAAACAAATGGAAGTAGTATAGATTGTAAGTGTTAAATCGTCTGTTTTTCCTCAACGAGAGGAGCCTACCCGCGGAAAAAATAAGTGAATGATGATTGATTGAACGATTGGTTGTCTGACCACTCAGTCAACCGGAAGCCGCAGTAACAGAGTCACCGATCAAGTACGGTCTGTGGAATACATAGCCTAGACTGATGCAACAATCGAACGCACGCTATTCTCGACATGAAGGGCAATATGCCTACAGGGTTGCTGTAGGTATCTAGATCATCTCTAGTGTGGCTGTAGGTATCTAGAATCTCTAGTGTAGCTCTGTAGGTATCTAGATTATCTCTAGTGTAGACCGTGGATGGTGTGCTTGGCCAAATTTGGGTGTTTCATTTTAGCATGGGTGAAGTCAAACTGACAAGTTTCAGTAATAATGTCCAGTATCCATCCTACAGGTGTCTCTCGATCTTCACCCGCTCAACAGGGCCGTTTCAAACTAAAGTATTTTCTTCCCAAATTGGAAATTCGGAGTGGTCCGGGCTGCCTGAAGATGGGCAAACTAAAGAAGATATGTCGGAGGATGCATCTTCGAAGTCGAAAGAATCCGAACTAAAAGTGTCGAAGGATACAGGATTTCGAGCGATCTTTCACAAAATAAATTATGTGCCCACGGGTTGGAGGTCTCAGCACAAATTAAGGGATAATAAATACACACACAGAAAGACTACCCATTCGAGATATGCTGTGAGCGCTGACTTGAAGTTGAGGTGAAGACAGAAAAAAAAAACTTATTTATGTACACTATGCATTGGTATTGATGTGCAGAGTAATCATCATGAGCATTTTTTCTTCTTCTCAAGAGAGTAGGTTCATTGTACCGTTTGTAGTACGCCCATGCATACCGTTCGATGAAACTACTGCGGTAGTTCATGGCAGCTGCCATGCTCCCCCGAGCCATGAAAGAGGGGACAAACGAGGGATCGAAAAAAGGCCGTAACATCAACAATAGAGGGCCCGACCACTTTAAGGTGATGACGGAAGTTGAGTCGGATCGGACGCGGGTCCGAAGGATAACGCATCTGCTTCTTCAAGCACCTGCCCTGGCGCCAACTCCGCACGAACAGGGTATCGGCACAGCCCGCTACACTCGACGGGCACACACACCCCTAAAGAGCTGAGGTGCCGATGGCCAACAGATCGCCCCCCAAAAACGTGGTGTTCGGCGGGAGGGAACACGCACGCGTAGATGGACCCAAGCGTCATTTGTGTCTCCAGCACATCACGCCTTCGCGGCTAGACTTGCCACTGCACCGACAATGCAGCATGATGACGTCGATAGCACGTCCCACCACCCTCGGTGCCAAAAGCACGACGGGTCAACACACTACTCTGAAAACAACACGCTTGCTCTTTGTCATTTCTGTTCCTCCTCTCTGTCATTTATGTTGTGCTCTCCTGCAAGAAGCCTGCGGGGGACACAAACGGCCATTAGAGGGAATCCACGTGTTGTTGAAATGACTTAAGGAATAATAAAAATAACAGCACGAACGACAACGGCTGTTGTATGCTGTGGCTCCGTATGTGACGGAGGCTTGGGGAGAGAAACACAGAGTGATTGTATTATCTTCACACCGACGCCCAAGCTGTCTTCACCTGACGGTTACAGACTTGGCGACGCCTTCACAATACCGCATAAACCCATGCAGTAGAATAGAGCCGTTCTTGTACTACAAGCACTTCCAACATGTCCTCTCAAGAACTACGTCATTCTACAGTTCCGATGCATAAGACCTCTCGAAACGATATGCATCCGTGTCCTCTCGAAACAATGCTGTCTAAAGAACTTCTAACTCATTATCCGTATCTACTTGTTTCATTCAGCTGCTATCGTAACAGCGATGTGTTTCCTTCCTACAACACAAAGTCCCGAATTTATTTCAACACATATACACACACATACACCGTCCGATTTGAAGAGGGGAGGTGTTTACACTCCTAGGAGCAAGAGGCGGTTCCTTAGAAACTTCACCGCACCCAAACTCTTTGTAAGAATGTCAGCTTTCTGCGCGTCAGACTCAAGGTACTCCACTGCGACTACCTTGTCTTCGATAAGCGACCTTACTTGATGATACTTGATGTCAACGTGCTTCGTACGCGGCGTGATCTTGTTGTTTACACTAGTCGAGATCGCGCCAGTGTTGTCCTCGAACATCCTCGTCGCCTCCTCTTGCATCTGGTTGATGGTGCTCAGAAGGTGACGGTAGTGGATGATCATCGTACATGCCTTGGACATCGCGACATATTCTGCTTCCACCGAGGAGAAGGCCACCACCGTTTCCTTAACTGACCTCCAGTCCACCGGTCCACCTGCCAGAAACAAAACAACGCCTGTAGTCGAGCGACGGTCATCTCCATCGCCTGCAAAGTCGGAATCAACATATGCTGTCAGTAGGTTTCCTTGTTCAGCGTCTTCCCTGTACATTATCCCAATGGAGCTCGTTCCTTTCAGGTACCGGAGCGGTCGCTTCAGTTTGGCCATCGCCTTCGGGCCTGGTTTGGCCATGCTCCTGGTAAGCACCAACACCGTGTGGGCGATCTCCGGCCTCGATCCCCTGCATAGGTAAAGAACCGAACCCGTGGCTGATCTGAACATCGTGGTGTCCTCTGGCGACAGTGCTTCTTCCTCCACGACACTTATCGTGCCAACCTCAGCCGGAGTCTTCGTCGGATGCGAGTCGGCCATTCCAAACTTAGCTAGCACCGCCTTGGTGTACACTTCCTGCGTCAAGCGAATCGTTCCTGCTTGAACGTTGCGATCAACGGCCATTCCTAGGATAAACCTCGCATCCCCGAGGTCCACCGTATCAAAGCGTTCCTTCAGCTGTTCGATGATCGTCGACACTTGATTCTTTTCGGTTCCAGTGAACAGGATGTTATCCACGTAAACTAGGAGAATTACTTCGCCCGCGTTCAAGATGTACAGACACGGATCCGCCGTGCTTTGCACGAATCCGATCTCCAGCAAATACAACACGTGAAATGTCCCGTTCCATCCCTTCGGAGATAGACGTAAACCGTACAGCCATGCCTTGAGTTTCCAGACCTGTTTAGCTTGTTGCGACGAGCACTCGAACCCCTTTGGAGGTATGACGTAGATGGGTTCCGCATCTTCGGGAATTCTGGCATGCAGGAAAGCCGTCTTGATGTCAGCTTGCTTGAGAACTAGACCGTGGTGAGCAGCAACAGCAATCAACAGATGCACAGATTCCATAGACGCCACTGGCGCTGCCTTGTCCTTTCCCGTATCGGCTTCATGAAATCCTTGTACCACTACACGACTCTTCGGGCGAACCGGCACACCATCTTGGTTGTATTTCCATTTATAGATGAACTTAGACGGAATCAGTTGAACACCCTGGGGCGGGTCAACCCAGTCAAACACGTCATGCTCGTACAGCGACTGTCCTTCGTCGCTCATGCTTGCTTGCCAACGTTTTGAGTCTAGTCCGCTTATCGCTTCGTTATAGTTGGTGTTAGGATGATCCGAACTGGGGGTAGCTTGTCGCAAGACGTGTGTTGAATAGGGTGTCGGCAACTCGGCGAACTCGCGCCAAGGAGGAAAGATGTGCTGGGCTTGTTGTATAGACTTCTTCTTCACATGAAAAACATGGACTCACATGAACACATGAACACATGAACACATGGACACATGGACAGACATGAACTGCACGCACGCGTGCACGCACCACCATGAGGGGGCGACGCAGTATACAACAGGGGTACCTTGCACACCCTGGAAATACATTCCACGTACCACACAATCCTACAACCACTTGGCATTGCTACAAGTATATCTATCAGCCCCCCTGCTTGTGACCATGCCATGTCTTTTTCGATCCTCAAGAACTCCAAAACACAAGAAAATAAACTCAGAAACTCAACTCAACTCCAGAACAATAGCCTCACTGGCTAGACATCAATACCCATCCCCGGTCAAATCAGATATAATTTTTCGATCTTCAGTGAACTAATTGCCCCCCAGCCTAGAACACCATCCATTGAGAAAAACCATAGGCAAAAATGCAAAATATTGCCACCCTAGTTGTTTGATCGCACACAAAATAAACCCAAACATAAAAATATTAATCCATACTCATTACGAAGTTACGATGAAACTCGAAATTTCCCACGTTAAGTGCCTTCGTGAGGAAGTCAGCATGTTGATACGCCGATTCCACGTGAAAAATCGAAATCTCCTTCCTGCGTACCAAATCCCTGATAAAGTGGTGCCTTACGTCGATATGCTTCGAGTTACTGTTGCTAATTGGGTTCTGTGCCAACTGAATAGCCCCCTGGTTATCCTCGAATACCGGAATACACGGCATACCGGCTTCTGGCAACATGAAACGCCATACTTGCCTCAGAAACAACACTTCCTTCATCACATCCGCAAGGGAGACATAATCCGCCTCTGTCGTGCTTAACGTAACGCACTTCTGCGTCCTTGAAAACCAAGAAATACATCCCCCCCCACACATCACCAACCCTCCTGACACAGACCTCCTATCGGCAGCCTTACTTGCATAGTCTGCGTCTGCGAACACCTCCATGCTCAACCCTGCTACACTACCCCTCCTGAATGTAATACCCAAGTCACTAGTCCTTACCACATACCCCAAAATACCAAGACCTGCTCTCCAATGAATTTCTTTGGAAGAAGCACACTACCGTGCTACCGCTCTCACTGCGTTCGCGATATCTGGCCTCGTTTGCGTTGCCAGCCACATCAATGATCCTATCAGCTCACGAAAAGGCCTTGATACCACTTCTTCATCTTGGTCAAACTCTGAAAGCTTCAACCCTACAGGAAGAGGAATTTCCTTCCCGCACTCTACCCCAAACTCCATCCCCAACTCTTCAGCGTACGTCTGCTTCGAGGTCTTCAAAGTCCCTGCATCCCAATTTTCCAAGAATAAAATCTCCTCTACCACCTGCTCCCTCAGGTTGTGATCGCTGTTCACAACCAAACATCCTGTGAAAACCCCGAAAATAAAATCCTACTCGTTCAGGCTCGACCTCTTACTCAAAAAGTCCAAACACAAAGCCGAAGCACCACAAACCAAAGCCAAAACAATGAGAACACGAAATAAGAAAAGTCACACCATTGGTCACACGAAGTATTTTTGCCGGCCCATCAACCCCAGCGCTTTCATCCATCCCTCCTGCCACTGCTTCTTCCCCGCGGTAGCCACCCTCGCCTCTGCCGCGGCCACCCTTTTCTGCTGGCATCGCCGCGGCTCGGGCTTCATCAGGTGCCACGTATCCGCCTGGTTGGGGTGTGTGCAGCTGTCTCTCCGGAGGGATTGACTCGGCAGTGCAGGGGAGATGGCGCATCCGAAAGGGAAAGGTAAAGGCAAAATCAGTCACCCCAAGCGTCAATTCAGCACGTGGCACTGCTGGGGAGAATAGCTTGCAATACGCCCCCTGTTCTGCGCAGCAGTGATCGTTATCTTTCGCATTCTGTACGACATCATGGTTACCTATCAAATCGAACGCCAATCTACGACTGACGTTAATTACTCCTCTTTCGCAAAAGTGACACAACGATTCTTGCGATTTGTCTGACAAGGTTAATTATTCCTCGGTCACGCAAACAACAATGTTGGATCCATGTTAGAGCTTACACAGCTGTGTTTCTGATCAACAACCCAACACATCTTCTTACTGGTGTACAACCACTGCGCTGTTTTCGTGCATACAGTGTTCTGGTACGAAATGGAGATCATTTCCATGTATTCCTGTCGGTTACACAGACCCCTGACCAAATTTCCAAGTGTATCCCCCTACAACTCCTACCGCTAGACATGCAACAGACTCCTGTTCGTAACACGCAACTCATTGTCGGTAGAGGGTACAAAGATTCATGACGCCTTCGCATATCCCGTTATCGACGTGAACGCAAAAATAATGAGTCGGAGATCAATCTCTGTATTTTAACACGAAAGGGACAAAATATTCCCATCAACTTCAAAGCACTCAAGAAGGTATATGCAGCAGGTTGGTTAGGATTCGCTGACACTCTCATCTAATCTTCAGTCTCTGTGGGTGACTGGCAACCTTACGTGGCGTAGTAGCCATACAACCTCGCAGTTTTGTGGGTGACTGGCAACCTTACGTGACGCAATATCCATTTAACCTCGCAGTTTTGTGTGGGTAACTGGCAACCTTACGTAGAATAGAAGGCCCTTTGATGGGGTCTACTGCTGTACCTCTCAAGAAAAACATGTGCAAGATGATGACGCATACGTATGCAGAACTCAACAAGGTGTGCTGTAGGTTTATCGGAGCACACCCAAACGAAATCGACGAAGACCATTCAACATCCGAAATTGGCTCTCAAAAACCTGTACTCTAACCTGGACATCGCCACTAGAATCGAACACACCCGTAAATGGGGCTACATGTAATAGTCTACAGGACTGACACGGATGGCGTCCTTAGGGGGTAAGACTTCCCTGGTTTCCTCCCCCGGGGTGTTGGTCCTTCGCATTGCCCGCGCGAAGGACTCAAAGAGACGGTCCTCCAACGATCGTGGCTGGTCTTCAGGTTGCGGGTCTAACGCTGTTCCAGCCGGCCGAGCATGCCGGGGATCGCCTCCATCGGGGGGCTTGTCCACGCTCTCTGATGCGGGACGCTTCTCTTCGGTAAACTTGATTTTTTCTTGTACTCCCTTCTCCACTTCCTCTTTGATGTGCGCCGATAATGCTTGGCGGTCCTCTTCAGTTAAGCTGCTGAGGTCGAGGGCTTCCATGATCTACTTCTCTAGCCGAACCCTTTTAGAGCTAACCTCACCTCGGGATCCCGTGTGATATCACACGCTAGGTCGGAAGGCACGTAGCCTACCTCACCGGGGCGACCCGCCCCGATGTTTCCGAGTTCGTCGCCGGTCAGCATAGCATGTTCGATCCGCTCGTACGCCTCCTCCGTCGTATGCAGATTCATCCTATCCGGTGCATTGGAGACCCTGCCGCTCCGACGTAGGTTCGAGTCCTCCATTTGGGGTCCCGATGGCGTTGGCGATACTTTTTTTTCTTCTGCTGTTTTGTTTTCTTCGTCGTTAGTGTCCACCGTGTCCGGTAAATAGATGGTGGTGGGAGTCATCTCTGAGAACGGGTCGTACCCGTACTCGGGTTTGACCACGTCGCGAGTCTCTTTCTCACGAAAGGACACCTCAGCGGAGTTGGTGATCTTGAGGAGCTCCGCCGGTTCCCACAGCCGGTACGTCCTATTCTTGGTGTTGTACCCCACATGGTACATTTTCTTTGCCCTTGCTGACAGCTTGGTGTCTCGGAATCTCGCTTCTTCATGCTTAAAAGCTACCGAGCCCCATTCGTGGATGTGCGACATGTCACCTAGCGGTTTTCCCTCCCATACCTCAAGTGGGGCTTTTCCGCCCAGAACGTCCGTAGGTGTGCGATTCTTGAGGTAGATAGCTGTTTGGAATGCTTCGCCCCACAGATGACCTGGAAGGTGCGGTGCTCCCAGGAGTAGCTTGCGCGCCGTTCCGATGATGGTGCCAAATCCACGTTCGGCGATGGCGTTCCCCTGCGGGACGTAGGGAGGGCTAGTCTCGAGCTTAATTCCCATGGACTCACACAACGCTTGGAACCTGCCCTTGAACTCTCCTCCGCCATCGCAGTGCACCTTGCCGATGCAGGTCCCCAAAGGATCCGCTTCGTTCTGGATAAGCTCTTGGAGCGACTCCGCCACCCCATCTTTCGTCTTCAGGAGAAAGCCAAACCTCATGCGAGAGAAGTCATCAGTAAACATAACGGCACTCTGGCAACCGCCGGGGGACTTGACAGGGTGCGGCCCCCACACATCGGCGCTCAGAATCTCAAGCCGAGTCGTGGCTCGAGTGCGATTCGACGGGGGGTGGCTACTTTTCTTGCTGTCGCCAACCGCGCAAACCCCGCAGTCACCTGGTTCGATGTTCCGGTTGAACTTCACTCCGGTTGTCGCTTTGTCCGCCAGCTGCTGTAGAGCACGTGGATGGCAATGACGCATTCTTCGATGCCACATATCAGCGTCGACCTTGGTGCGGTACACCTCGGCGGCGTCAAGATTGACGTCGTCGATGATGACGTTCACGACGTACATCCGCCGCACCGCCGTCGAGATGGGCGGGGTCGACAGCAGATCACACATCACCCCCTTCTCGGCTAAAGCTCCAACCGACAAGATGTTAGCCCCTAGGTTGCGGACCAGCAGAACTTCCACCGCTACCGGTACCACCATGTTCTGATCATTCCGAACTCCAAATTTTAGCGTGCCTTTCTTGGTTGCATTTGAGTTACCACAGGACCCGATGATACGCACGGCGCAGTCCATCGGATCACGAACATGTTTGGACAGGCGGGACTCCGTGCAGACCATGTGGCTAGAAGCGGCAGAATCGATGTATACAGTCGTGTCTACAACAGCGGAGGGATTCGCCTGTTCCACTTGAAACACGTTGGTGTACGTGACATACTATAGGGTATCCACTATGGATTGACGCGGAATTTTGACCTTTGAGGATTGACGCCAACATAAAGTGACGGTTGAGGGTTTTGACGGGAAAAAATTCGCACCGCGTGTGCCCGTTGACACGTGAGAGGTGAAAAAAAAAAAATGGTGGAGGCTTGGTGGAGGTAGAGTTCAAGGTTGGTTCGGGCTGCCACCCAGGGTCGACATTCCGAAGCGAAGACTCACACCCCCAGGCTCCCAGGAGACTAGGTGTACCCCTTCGCCTCATCCCGCCGACCTTCCCTCCTTTGCCGCGGCGACTTTTCCCAGGCGTCAAACTGCGACTTCCCAGGCGTCAAACTGCCGTTCGTTGCTGATGAGTAAGGCAGCTGCTCGCTGCACTGCTGTGTATATACCGATGTCACTGCGGCAGCAGAGCACCGAACGCCGTGAGGGGGCGGGCGAAATGCACCTACTGACTGGCAAAGTCCGTGTACCCTGCCTTACTCCTCTCCATGTGCTCCCTTCGAGGGCGAGACTCCCCAATCACTCCCCTGCCTATGCCCCTTTTTGCTGCTGAAAGCCCGTGCGCAATCGCGACGGCGCATCTACCGAACGCGCGCGCCGAACACGCGCGTCTGGCCACTTGGCCGCCGTGAGAACTGCCGAGACGCGTGGGTGCAGGACCGCTAGGAGCAATCAGTATAGGCATGGCCAATGTGTTCGCTGCTGACCGCGCACAGCAGACCGCAGCAGAGCAAGCGTGTGTGAGCCACAGTCTGGCGATGTTTGAAGCGTCAATCTTTTCGCGTCGGTTTAAGTTTGGGTGAAATTTAATTTTGACGCTTCCTCACAAAAATTTCGCCGTCAGAGTTTGCCCCCCAAAAAGCGGCGCAACCTCTTCACGTCAAAACTTCCTGAAATGTCAATCTTTCACGTCATTTCAACAACACGTGGATTCCCTCTACTCTGTTCCATCAGACGCCTTCTCCGCCTGAAGGTGAGTCTCATCTGCCACAAGCGCCGCCTGCACCGGCACATCACCAGCGGCGCACTCATCACACAGTACCGCAGCAAGCACATCCTGCACCTGCACAACTCCAGCAGCGCGCTCCTCTGGCTGCGCCGCACCAGGCACCTTCTGCACCTACCTGCGGGTTGTCGGCGGCGCGGGTTTCCGGCAGCGCCGCAGCAGGTGCCTCCTGCACCCGCATGTAGTCAGCAGGCTCCGTCTGCACCTGCGAGTCATCTCCGATAACAATTGCGAAGTCCTCCAGCTCGCTGCTGGATCCCTCGATCCGCGTAAACCACGCCTGCGTGGTCGACTCCTGCGTGACATGAGCAGCCTGTTCCTTGGCTTCTTCTGCCTCCTGCGAAAGGCGAAGCGGGCAGTTGTGCCACCCGTGCTCTTTGGAGTTGTGGCAGTACCTGCACAAGCCCTTCGAGTTTTGACCATTATCCCGGCCCCTTCCTCGACCGTTGCCACCGGAAACTTGGCTACCGCGACCATTGCCGCGTCCGCCTTGCGCATTTCCCGCGCTGTCTCCGTGTGTCGTGGCACCTCCGTTGTTCCCGTTCGACGAACCGCCGCCCGTCGAATCGTTCGTAGTTTGGCCGCCATTTCTTCGACGACCACGTCCGCCACGTCCGCCACGCCCCCCTTGCTTGCGGAAAGCACGGGCTCCTCCGTGCGTGACAGTGTTCAATACCCGATCATGGCTGCCTGCCCCGTCAGCGCGGCCAGAGTCTTTCCCCCGGATTCGCATTGCGTGAAATGTTGTAGCACGGAGGGCGAGTACTTCGAAATCAACCGTACCATCAGCCGACCTCTGCGACTCACACAGCAACGCAGTCTTCAGTTCGCCGTAGTGACTGTCCGGAAGAGCGTCGTGCAAAGCGTTGGACAGACGCGAGTCGACGACAACATCGCCGAGAGAACCCAACTCGGCAGAAATGCGGCGCAACTCCTGGATTGCGCGCGACGGATCAAAATATTCGTCGGCTGCTGTGACGGCGACGGATGCCAGTTGGGCGTGCAGCTGCTTCATCCGATACGGACCCGCCACCATGTATGTACTTCTTGTCTAGCGCCACAAAGGCAGCACGACCATCCCCATACTCAGCCTCTCCAATCGGCCCGTACCTCTGTACCACCTGTGATGCCGCGCGGGAGAACCCTCCTGCGCCGTCGGACGTCGACATATATAAGAAGCCGCATGTACAGCTCGCCATTTCTCTCTGCGAATTTCTCCATCGCAGTGGCATGCGCCGTCCGTGCATCCGGGGTTTCATCTCCCGTCAGATCTTCAGGGGGTTGTTCTTTTCCCGACATTATCTTTCCGAGCCCAGCCTTATGCATCAAGACCCGTGTGAGAGTGACCCATCCAGGGAAGCTCGCATCTTCACCATCAAAAGGCACAAACCCACGTTGCATTGGATTTGTGGTGGGAGCTGCGGACGCCATGTGACTCGTGTCAGTTCCCCTACCGCGCGAGGCTCACGACCTAACAGCACGACAACGGCTGTTGTATGCTGTGGCTCCGTATGTGACGGAGGCTTGGGTAGAGAAACACAGAGTGATTGTATTATCTTCACACCGACGCCCAAGCTGTCTTCACCTACCTGACGGTTACAGACTTGGCGACGCCTTCACAATACCGCATAATAAACTCATGCAGTAGAATAGAGCCGTTCTTGTACTACAAGCACTTCCAACAAAAAACACACACAGAAAGACTACCCATTCGAGATATACCCACAGTCGAACGGGATGTGGTGGAGTCTTTTCAGTGAGTGGAGGGAAACCGGCTGGGTACTGGACTTATTTCGAGTCTTTTTAAGTCTATACACTGATGATTTATACCAGTGATGCCAGCTGGTGCTAACTAAGTACAAAACCACATCTGTATAGGTAACTTACATTTTACAATACATCCCCTGTAGTTCCTTACTGGGTCAACGGCAAAATATCGGGGAGAAACCCTCCGTTGTGCCGTGTATTGTAAATTGTAACCTACACAGGGGACACGGCGCAGTGTCTATTGACATTTCAGGAAGTTTTGACGTGACGAGGTTACGCCGCGTTTTTGGAGGCAAACTCTGACGGCGAAATTTTTGTGAAAAAGCGTCAAAACTTAAAACCGACGCGAAAAGATTGACACTTCAAATGTCGCCAGACTGTGTGTGGCTCACACACGCTTGCTCTGTGCTCTGTTACCATCACCAAATCACGAAAGGAGCGCGGTCAGCAGCGAACACATTGGCCATGCATACTGATTGCTCCTAGCGGTCCTGCACACACACGTCTCGGCAGTTCTCACGGCGGCCCAGTGGCCGGACTCGCGTGTTCGGCGCGCGCGTTCGGTAGATGAGCCATCGCGATTGCGCACCGGCTTTCAGCAGCAAAAAGGGGCATAGGCAGTAATCGGGGGAGTCCCGCCCTCGAAGGGAGCACATATAGAGGATTAAGGGAGGGCACACGGACTTGGCCAGTCAGTAGGTGCGTTTCGCCCACCCCCTCACGGGGTTCGGTGCTCTGCTGCCGCAGTGACATCGGTACACAGCAGTACAGCGAGCAGCTGCCTCACTCAGCAACGGCAGTTTGACGCCTGGGAAGTGGCCGCGGCAAAAGAGGGAAGGTCGGCGGGATGAGGCGGAGGAGTACACCTAGTCTCCTGGGAGCCTGGGAGTGTGAGTCTTCGCTTCAGCATGTCGTCCCTGGGTGGCATCCCGAACCAACCCGGGGTCGTGAACACATGACCGGCGTTTAACGCGTCAACTCTACATCGCCAATTTTTTTTTTCCCTCCCACGTGCCAACGGGCACACGCGGTGCGATTTTTTTTCCCGTCAAAACCCTCAACGGGTTACTTAATGTTGGCGTCAATCCTCAAAGGTCAAAATTCCGCGTCAATCCATAGTGGATACCCTATATTATACCGCTAGAAACGCCACCCGGCCCGAAAGCCTTTCGACGTACGTAGATAAGCAAAGCCAGCTGCTCTGTTTAGTCTATATGCCTGCCGGCAACGGCATCTCGTTCTCGAAGATCTGCTCCAAGGTCTGTCGCCGCCAAACGACATGCAGCTCCCCCGCGGAGTCAAGGAGCACCTGCCCAGCAGGTCAAGCGGGACGAAGGCGTTTGTGTGAGGCAGCTTCGCCAGAGGCCGAAAGAGAAAGAAGGTCGACTCAAGACCGTAGAATTCACGATTCGTAGACATGGGGGCGGGGGGGCGCATCATGTCCATCACAACATAGTAACCCCCGTAGATCAGCACTCTGCCGAGCACCCCAAACAAAAGGAGGAAGCGGAAAGGGAGGCCCAGGGGTGGAAGGGTGTGGGGAAATGAGATACACAATACGTGGTTGGGAGAGGGCAAACACAAGCAAGCCTGGGAAATGGTCGACCGAGAGGTGCGTCGGTGGTAGATGGGGGCGCGGCGATTACTCACGCTTGACCACATTTACGAACCAGAGCACGCACGGCGTTAATCCCCGCGCAGAGCCAAGTGAAAACGGTCATACCATGTTTTCATTTATTCGTTGAAGCAAGTCACGTCGAAACACCACTACACCAGGGTTCTCGGCAGTCTATAGAAACGCGGTCATGTAACTCTACATCGTCAAAGCCCTCTTCTTGCGCAGACAGATGTCAGGGCTTTCGACCAAAAATTATCCGAAAACGCGCAAAGGCTACCCCTGACACCCAAATTACTGCGCCAGGGCTTTCGGTCTTCTGAGCAAAGGACGCCATGCCATAGCCATAGCCAAAGCCATGCAGCCAAAGCCATAGCGAAAGCCAAAACCAAAGCCAAAGCCAAAGCTAAAGGCCAATTCCATTCGTGTTGTACCTCTGGCGCCTCCGGGAAGGAGTTGTAGTTCTTGGCGCTCATGCCGGCCACGTAGGCGCCGCAACCCTCCACCACCACCAAGTCCCCTGTCATCGGCCCGCGTGATTCATGTTTGTCATGTTTGTCATACAAATGCCGGACATCGGTAATCGAGCAACCACGTGCAACGGTTGCGCCAAAGACGAACACGGTAAGGGTGAGGGAGTCGGAACGCGACGGGGGGTGGCGAGCGCGCAAAGGAAAGGGGAGGGGGGGGGGGTTCGCGAGTGGTAAGTGAAGTTGAATCCCAATTTTTCGACAGCAGTGCCCCTTTTGAACCATTCAATTCGCCTGTTAGCAGCAAGTGACCAAAAATATGCGGCGTAAATTGCTTGGACGAAAACGTCGAAAGTGGAGGGAGTACCACGAATGGCATCATCTTCTGAGAGTAATCACAATTTCGCGCCACCGATCCCTCCTTCTCCCACCCCCGCCTCCAATATGTAGACGATACAGCAGTCCCGCATGGCAGTGACTGAACTCACCGATCTCCGCCTTGGCTAGAGTTCGGCGCTCGATCTCCGAAGCCGCCCCCGACACTGGCGTCAACAGATCTCCGGACTCGCAGCAGTGCCCGACGACCACGTACTCGGCGATTTCACCACCGCCTTCCCCCTGAGAGAAGGGGCACCGCAGGGGAGATGATGAGGGGGTGGGGGAAGGGCATGTTTGTCACTTGAGTTGGTCTCTTGACCTCTGAAAAACAACACGCAGGTTCCCCTGCTAAAAAGAGGCAAATCGAAAAACTAACAATGCAAAACGACGGGTAAACTTGAAACGAACGGGCTCAGCAAAAGACCGGTGCCCCTAAACAATGGTAAAAAAGTACATCCCACTTGACCTCGCGGTGCTTGCAGAAAAAGAACGTCAAAATAGCAAAGGTGGTGAATGAACCCAAGGCAAAAAAAAAAAAAAGTCCCCTGCGGAGAGCATGCCCGATGTTCAAGCAAAACCAGAACAAGAGCCGTCCAACACTACCATTTCGGAGAGGTCCCCTTGCTTGACACACCTCCGCGGGTACGACGACGATGGGGTGGAGGGCGCCGTAGAGTGACGGCCGGAGGAGCTCCGTCATCCCGGCGTCCAGCTTGATGAACTCGTAGCCGCCGCTGCCCGTGCTCACCAGGTCCTGCGCCGTGCAGACGAGGCTACCAGCATTGGCGACAAGGAAAATCCCGGGCTCGATCTCCAGCTTGAGCTTCCGCCCGGTCTCTTCGGCGAAGGCCTCGAAGTCGCCCATCACGGGGGCACCGCTGGTCTGCAGGTCGGTCGACTGCTCTCCCGACATTCGGCCCACCCTGGGTGGAGTAGAAGGGTAAGAAGAGGTTGCAAGGGTACCTCACATAGGGAGCTGGAGAGTTGCAGATTTCGAGATTTCGAGAATTCGAGAATTCGAGAGTTCGAGCTTTCGAGCTTTTCGAGAGAGAGTGAGGGGGGAGAGACAGACACACATATACAGAGCGTTCCTGAAACCTCACATTCGGTAGCAGCAACAAGAACAACAGCAGCAGCAGCAGCAGCAGACACAAGGCATGTGCAAAATACCGGGGGGAGCAAATGAGAAATCAACAACACATCTTCACCTTGTAGCCGCCTCCCAAGTTCAGCGTGGTCACGGTGGGGAACTGTCGCACGATGTCCAAGCTCATGCCGGACACCTGCACCCAGAAAAACGGCATTGCACCAGCAGCCAAGGGATCGACATCGCACGACCAGCTTGGACCAGGATTCCACTAGAGGATTCCCATACAATTGTAGCCCATGAACTTGGCGGAACGTTACCACGCAACGCTGGCTACTATACTGTCCGCCTTCTTTGCCTTCATCCTTATAGCAACCGTCACAGGAAAAGAAAAAAAAAAAGTTCCGTCACGACGAAGGGCAACTGGATTGATGCATGTCGGTCGCCCAGGTGGTCTAGTTGGTAGCCTCGCAACCATCTAGAGGTCAGGTAAGGGGTTCGAATCCCGGCGTAGGCGAGCTTTTCTTGCAAAGTGATTTTTTCTCTCGCTTCCGCTCCTGGCCAAGTGGATAGCGCTAGTTCGTGTGTACACAGAGGGAAGAGAGTGCTGAACTCTTCTCTCATTAAAAATTGAAGGCGAAGTACCGCAGGAGGGGAGGGTAGAGAGAGGCTCTTCTGTGTGACCACGGGTTGGAATATAAACGGCACTAGTGCTGTGAGCGCTGATTTGAAGTGAAGAACAAAAAAAAAAAAAAAAAAAAAAAACGAATGTGGTGGTGACGATACCAAACGACACATCTTCGGAGATATCTCGATCGGGCCTTTCCAATGAGCAACCATCCCCGCACGCCCCTTTGTTGTTGTTGTTGTTGTTGTCTTCACATTAAAAAACCGTTCCGATCTCTCTCTACCCAGTACCTTCGTATGTCCGTACTGATCCAACACTCGACGCGGTCGATTCCCGTGGTCACAGGTTAACTTACCCTAAAAAGGTACACTCAAATAAACTGGCCCCGAGGGGTCCGCAAGTCAATAGATATCAACGACAGATATTCTGGGATCCTCCACTCCCTCTTCGCGCTATGCGGGGTATCAACTGAGACTAGCAGTCACTATCTGTCATGGGCCGGAGAGAAAGAGGTACACCCCCTTGGTTCAATCTTGGTACTTCACAACGCAAGCAGAGACAAGGCCATCTGGCACAGAAAAAGAGAGAAAAAAAGAGAGAAAAAAAAGAAAAAAGAGAAGAAAGAGAAAAAAAAAAGGAGAAAGAGTAAAAATGGAAACCGTAAGGAGAAGAGAAAATAAATGAAAATAAAATGAAAAAGGGCGAGGACAAAGAGGGACCAGGCCGAAAATAACAGGACGTATGAGGTAGAACAAGGCACACGGTGGAGAGACCACTAACGAACAAGCATACACGCAAACATGTCCACCAACCAGCGATACATTGTAATGGTACGAAATCACTACTACTGGTGGGGTGGTGCAATGGTGCAGCGTTGGGGGGGGGGGGAATTGGCGAAAAGAAATTCAATCCGGCACGTGTCGTGCCACTCGGTCCGTCTCTTCTCGTTTGCTTTCTTCCCTCGCCGTCTCGTCCGTCTCCTGCCCCCCTCCCGCCCCATTGGTTGTTGGCTTGTGGATTCCTTTGAGCGCTCGTTGTCGGCTGGCCTCTTCTTCCTTCTCGTGCCAGGAGGTCATGAACCTCTCAGCTCCCTGCAGCACCCCCGCATGCCACCTCCACCTTCGCGGCTTCCGTCCACCTTAACTTCCGTGCCCTGTCTTTCGGTACGGGAATTCCGAGACAACTTGGGTCGGTTTTCGTAGATCCGTGGTCGGCCCCGAATGCCTTCAGGTCGTCGAGCACACACTTCGGCCAGTTCTGTTCCTGTCCCCCCTTACGTGGCTTCTCCCCCCCCGCCAGCTCGCCGAGCATCAGTCGTTTCGGGAGTCGCCCGTCCGGCTGCCTTGCCAGTGCTCCCGCGAACAGTAGGCGTCGTTGTCGGATCGTAGCTTCAACGCTCTGGCATTCGACCCTCTCCAGCGTCTGGGCGTACGAGAGCTGCCGGTAGGTGTCTTTCTTGCGCTTGTACCCGATAACTCGAAGGAGCAGTCGGTGGTGTGTCGACCGCAGCGTCTGATAGTGGCCGCTGAGTGGTGACCATGTCATGCAGCCGTACAGCAGTGCCTCCATCGCCTCCGCCTGGAGGAGGCGGATCTTGAGTCGGAATGGCGCTTTCGGTCTGTCGAAGAGCTCCAGGCCATATCGCCTGAGGCACGCCCACGCTCCTCTGCTCCTGTAGCTGATCTCCCGGGTGAGGTCGCCATGTTCGTTGACGAGGCCACCGAGGTACCGGAACTCGGTCGTCTGGGCGATAGTCAGTGGTGGAGGAGGCGGGGGGGGCTGTGATGTTGCAGTCGGCTTGTCCTTCGCGCGCATCAGGAGGGTCTCCGTCTTCTTTTCCGACACCGTTAGCCCGAACTCTCCGAACACCTCAACGATGATGGTCATCATTCTCGCCAGTCCTTCTGCAGACCTCGATACGACGCCGGAATCATCGGCATACAGCATCCCCCATACTGCCCTCCGTACTCGGTCAAGGGGTGTCTCGTCCCCCCCCCCCCGCTTCCGTCTTCCCCTCGTCCAAGCACACCAGATTCCGCAGAACAACATCATCCTCGCTGAATCGGATAACGACGACCTCGAGGACCTCGGCGAAGAAGATGTTGAACAGCAGTGGGGATAGCACACATCCTTGTCGCACGCCCTGTGTGACGAAGAACCAGTCCGATAGTTCTCCGTCGTCCATGCGCACCCGGGCCCGCATTCCCTCGTGGAATTGGCGGATGACTTTGATTAGCTTCGCGGGAATCCCGACCCTGACCAGCACCTTCCATAGCATCTCTCGGTCCACCGAAACATACGCCTTCTTCAAGTCGACGAAGCACATGTAGAGCGGTATTTTCTTTCTCCGCCCCAGCTCCTGGAGGCGACGCACGACAAACAGCATGTCGACGGTGGATCGCCCGGGTCGAAATCCGCACTGTTCCTCCGGGAGGATGTTGTTGGCTTCGCAGAAGGCGCTTAGACGGTTGGTGATGATCTTGATAGGAACCTTGCCTACGTGAGATAGTAGCGAAATCCCCCTGTAGTTGTTACAGTTGGACCGGTCACCCTTCTTGTACAGCACCTTGATGGTTGTGTCCTTCCACTCTTGGGGGATATCTCCTCCGTTCCACACCTTGACGAGGATGGTATGGAGGTGTCTCAGGACAACGGGTTCGTCGTCATCGATCTTGAGCAATTCGGCAGGGAGGGAGTCATGGCCGCGTGCCTTGTTGGACGGACATGTCCACATCGGCCTATGAAATTCATGAGCGGACTAGCAGCATGGCACGCCGTTACGTAAAAGAGCACAGCGCGACGCAGGGTACAAAAGAGGCGGGCACCGCAGGGCATGTGTTGCATGCTCCAGGCCCAAAGGAGTCTTCAACCTCCTCTCCATGAAAAGATTAAGATTCACAGCCAACACCACCACCACAACGACCACGACGACGACACAGCTTCAACAGTTGGACTACAACGCACGCCTCCACCGCTGCTGTGGAGAAAGCCCGTACAAACCTTCTGTTTCACGGCCGGGTCAGATCCCGATCCGATGTGCGTGTGGATGCGGGATACGGTAAGGTCACCGCCGGCGCAGATGTCCCTCACCTCGTCCGCCCACTCGTACCAGATCCCTGCAAAAACCAACAACTAACAGCAGAGTAAGCGACAACGAACAATGGCGACTGCAATGCCAATGGAAGGGGGCAATGACGAGCAAGGCTGCAGCTTGGGGTGCTGGACATCACACGTTGGCCTTCCCTCATCCATGCCACCAACACCACACCGACCACCGTGGCTTGAATTTATCCTTCGTACCCCACACCCCCACCACCATCAGATCACTGGTTTCAGCTACCACCACCACCACCCCTAGCTTCGTTTTACCCCTCGTGCCCACCAACCGCTCACCACTCACCGAAAGACGAGGAGGGGCCGCCCACATTGGTGCTCTTGGTTCCCCCCGACCCCAGCCCCGGGTTAAACCGCACCCCGACCGAAGACCCCGGAGCCTCCTCAGCAATCTTCCGGAGCTGAGAGAGAGAGCACGCGTTGATGCCCACGCCCATCTTGAGCAGCTCCGCCGCGTCGGGGGGCAGCTCCTGCGAGCTGTTTTCGCGAGGGGGTTGTGAGGGGGGGCGAGACTTGGCGGGATATTGTTGCTCCCTCGCCGGTGTCCGAAACGTGATCTCGCTGACAGGCGCAGCGCATGCTGCAACTAATATTCTGTCTAAACGATTTCCCTATCTTCCTTGTTATTTCCCGTAGCGACGGCAGTGCAAGCAAGGTGTTGGGTGCATCACCCAATTCCTGTCATCTCACACAAGCGCAGAAAAAAACCAACGGCCAACGGCCACAATTTCGCCGCATTTTTGTAACCGTCAACACGAGTGATTTATTTTGTTTTCTTTCGAATTGCTTCATTATTTCTTCGGTTTCTAGGCTACGTGTTGGGGAGAGAGACGCACGAAACGCTCATCGTCTCTCCGGCCGCGTTAGCTGCAAAGGCCGGCGTCAACTCTTACAAATCCATCTCTCTCCCCACAAATACTAGCCGGGGGACTACGACTGCAAACGCAGGAGTCCCAAAACTGACCAAGTCCTCAAATGGTACACACCATTCTACAACACCTGACTAGATACCGAATATTCCCGAACTTATGCCCCCACCTTCGAAAGAAAAGGGATGGGAGGGCGGGATTTTCTAAACTGCCGCCGCTACTGCGTTAGGCGGCTGCTGCTGTCCTTCCGTTGCTTCACGCGCTCTGTAGCTGTCACACGTTACCCGACTTTGCTACAGCCCCTGCGTGGACTCGATCACGGAATGACACCCCCAACTATAGACTAATAATTCCAAACACCGTGACCCTGGGTTTCCGGTAGAAAATGAAGCCAAATTCTAATTCGACTGTTACAAAATAAACACCAGTTTATTCTATCTGCTTCGACGAACAAACCTTCCTTTTATTTTGTTTTCTTTCGAATTGCTTCATTATTTCTTCGGTTTCTAGGCTACGTGTTGGGGAGAGAGACGCACGAAACGCTCATCGTCTCTCCGGCCGCGTTAGCTGCAAAGGCCGGCGTCAACTCTTACAAATCCATCTCTCTCCCCACAAATACTAGCCGGGGGACTACGACTGCAAACGCAGGAGTCCCAAAACTGACCAAGTCCTCAAATGGTACACACCATTCTACAACACCCACATCGAGGTCAGTTTCTGGACGACCACCGAATAAGTCAACTATCCGTTCCCCCAGACGGTCCCCTCCCCCGGCTGTCTCGATACGATCCTACTGCCGTCTGTAAGTTTCCGTGACACTCGCCGCGAATCCTCTACATTGTTTCGCGCGTACGGCTTGTATGCATCCGGCCTCCACTTCCCTTCTCTCTGAATCACTCGTTCTGCGATGTCTCCGCCCGATGCAAGAGCCGTCGCGCCTCCAATTCGCAACGAGTGCAACGCGTACTCCTGGGGGTTACGCCCCGACTTCGCTACCACTTCTCTGACTGCACGGAGGGCAGCAGTATACCTCACTACTCTCACTGCTCTTCCACTACGGTACGAAGCCAACGGTGCGGAGTCAGGCAACGTCGCATGACACGATAACAGCTCCACCACAAGAGCCACCGCGCCGCCGCGTGCTCTCACACCTGACTGCGGTCCGGTGACTTCGTCTCGCGTACGAACCCGTATGTTTCCTTTCTGCTCTTGATCGGCCTTGTGCCCTCTAAACCTCATTTCGACACGGTCTGCTCTACGATAGTGACTAAAGACTAATTGCGTCTCGCCAGCAAACAATGCTACGTCCGCCCTCGTAAGACAGTGTGCCTTATGCACCCTGCCCACATCATTCGCGAACACCTCATCAGACCGTGTGATAAAGAGATAGGACAAGCACAGACACAGCCACATCACTCTGCCCCCTTCCCCCCAGTTCCGGCTTGCGCTTTCCCCGTCCAGCAGCATACGCCAAGACACAGGCAGGCGCACACGGCGTATCGTCCCCACAGCCACGTGGTTCCTCGCAACCCCCCTTAGCGCACATTTCAACATCGGAGACGACAAGTCTAGCTCGACAGAAGCTTCCAGCCTATGAAAATGTTGTACAGCCGTGAGTTTTCCGGATATTGTACTCGCTAGATTACCCTCAGACTCGAAACACCAGGCTACGAAGTCTATCAACTCCCACACATGAAGGTCCCCGGCACGTTGCCCTAGGAACTTGGGCTTCTCCGTCAGCCTGCGAAACGTGCACCAAGAGTTGAAGCCTGACGTGTAAGTCCTTCTAGACGAAGACGCAACTGAGTGCTCGACGAGCTGCATGCCAAGACGTCGGTAACAAAGTCCCGTCCTGCCTGTCCCGGGTCCTGAACCTGCTGATAGCCCTGGAGCCAACCTCGTGTAGACCGGCGTGCTGCCGTTCGATTTAGCCGCAGGTGCGCTGCGTGCTGGTGCGTGTCCTTGTTTTTTTTTTTCTCATTGAGATCACTTCCGCATAGACAATTCTACGGCAGGTTGACGAGTTTTTGGCATGCATCAATTGCTGTCCGGGCGTTTTTGGTCGCTTAATCGTCGATGGACGTGACGTATTCTTATAGAAGGTTTGTGTCACAGCGGCAATAAATTTGACGTGATGCCCCTCGAGACCGTGATGCACTCAAATGGATCGCTACCTGACGTTCCTCGCGAGTTCGAACCTCGCGTGTCACTTTCACCTCCCCCCCCTATTTTTTTCTCATCTTCTTTTTCTTTATGCATACAGCACGTAGTTCGCTGTCTCGTTTTTTTTTCTCGTCTTCTTTGTTTTTCAGTCTTTTTCTTTGAGTCTTTCTCTCGCATGCATGTGTTTTTGCTTTTATCCGTTCCCGTGAATGCTGTTGAATGCACTTTCCGATTACGTATGCGGCCGCTTTGTATGCCATGGGACTTGTCGATACCATCAGTGGGGACTTGTCGATACCATCCGTGGAGACGATTGCTTACGTGAGTGGGCATATTATCGTCGATTCCTTCAGCTATATGCCCCTCTGTGCGCGGCACAGACAAGATTGTACCGGCAAGTAGTCCCTAGTAAGCCGGGGGAAACAGAAAACAAAGCACCTGCCTCATGTGCATACTCGTGACAGCATCATGCCCTACTGCCGCGGGTCGATTGGTTATGTCCGATGCCGCAGGGTTCCTCCACCCCGTGCAGTACAATGGCTGCTATCAACCGCGACAAGTCAGCGTGCGACCATACAACAGGCCCCGCTCTTTCTTTTTGCCGTTGAATTTTTTTTTCTTCAGCGAGAGTACGTCTCGGTTGGGACGAACCGCATTTTTTTTCTTCAGCGAGAGTACGTCTCGGTTGGGATGAACCGCATCCCATGTTTGGGAAGGGATCTATCTGAGCGGCGCGGCGAGCGAGACTGCGGTGGCTTGCCGCCGCTTATCTAATTTTTTTTTCTTCAGCGAGAGTACGTCTCGGTTGGGACGAACCGCATTTTTTTTCTTCAGCGAGAGTACGTCTCGGTTGGGATGAACCGCATCCCATGTTTGGGAAGGGACCTATCTGAGCGGCGCGGCGAGCGAGACTGCGGTGGCTTGCCGCCGCTTATCTTACTGCACCCTCCCCCTCGTGCTAAATGCACGCAGCGGTGAGGTCACAAGAGTAGCGGGACGCGAATAGGAACACGGTCGACACGATGGATGTTGGACACAAGTACACACCTTTATATGGAGAGTCGCGTGCTGGTCGCTTCCCCAATGCTTGCGCCGTGTCCCGTCCCGCCCTTTTCTAAACTGCCGCCGCTACTGCGTTAGGCGGCTGCTGCTGTCCTTCCGTTGCTTCACGCGCTCTGTAGCTGTCACACGTTACCCGACTTTGCTACAGCCCCTGCGTGGACTCGATCACGGAATGACACCCCCAACTATAGACTAATAATTCCAAACACCGTGACCCTGGGTTTCCGGTAGAAAATGAAGCCAAATTCTAATTCGACTGTTACAAAATAAACACCAGTTTATTCTATCTGCTTCGACGAACAAACCTTCCTATTTTTTTTTCTGCAATCGTCGAATCGTCTTCGTGGAAGACCTCAGAGCGAACGCACCACGTATGTGTGGTGAACGAGCACGCAGGAGAACCCCAACCTTCGCTCGGCCCTCTTCTTCCATCGCCCAACGAACCCCGCAACGCTCACTCTTGTTGATCGTCAGCACCATCATCGTGTTCTGCGTGTGTGTTGGATCAATGCTACCAGTCGGTGGCGAACATCAGAGAAAAAATAATCACTCTGCCGGGTTGTTGTTGTTGTTGTTGTCTTCACATAAAAACCGTTCCGATCTCTCTCTACCCAGTACCTTCGTATGTCCGGACTGATCCAATACTCGACGCGGTCGATTCCGTGGTCACAGGTTAACTTACCCTAAAAAGGTGCACTCAAATAAACTGGCCCCGAGGGGTCCGCAAGTCAATAGAAATCAACGACAGACATGTAGATATTATTCTGATAGCTCCAACCCGTTGTGCGACAAAAGGGTTCCTCTCCCTGAGACCCCTACCCACTCCTCCTGCGGTGCGAGAAGAGTGCAGCACTCTATTCCCTCAAATACACGAACTACAGTAATGTGAGCGCTTAGACTTGCTACGTAGGAAATACTGTGATCGATGTCGTCCTACACATGTACCTCAAAAATGCGTGGTGGAAATGCGTGCTAGGTGGCACCCATCGTTGATTTCGTGCCCATCGGTGTCATGGCACCGGGTGCGCAAAAAAAGCAAGAACGGCATGATGTATTTGCATGTCCACACCGGTATCGGTGTCAACGCGCCCGATGAGATATGAACGATATAAAAAAATCTGCCCAGGACGTACCAAAATCCGTGCTTCCGCAAGGTACCGGTATACCCTCCGGCCTACGTTTTTTACTGCATGTAACGAACGGCTGTGAGGGTGCTGGCAGGTATCAATCGGGGCGCCATTCCTAATGTTTATTGATGGTTCCGTTCACGTGTGCCTGCAGAAACATTCGAAAATGGCTGCATTGATTTCTTCCGTATCGTACCCATCGGTGTCATCGCACCGGGGGTGCGTTGGAAATCTACCATAGAACGAATGACATAATTGCATCTCCGGGGTACGATAAAAAGCCAAGATAGGAATGATTTAGAGAACGATCGCATCCCCATTACAAGGTACTGAGCGGCGACCGGAACGGTTTTTGATGTGAAGACAACAGCAACAGTAAGAACTCCGGCGCCATAACACGCGCTACAATCACGGTATCTTGAGATAATGCGTTCACAGCGCCGAGACGCGAGCGAGAGAGGTGCTGGCAGGTAACCAACCAAACAGGGAAACGTGCGTTCCACGACCGAAACATGGGTTATAGGCTTGCCCGCGGGGCACAGAGACGGAAAGACACGGTCTCGCTTTGTTTTACGCTGCTTGTCTCGCTTTGCTTTACGCTGCTTTTCTCTCTCTCTCTCTCTCTCTCTCTCTCTCTCTCTCTCTCTCTCTCTCTCTCCCGGTATTGCACGTCACAAAAAGCTTTATCATGAAAGTTGAGAATACGCGTCATGTTAGCACAATCGCGGTTCTTCCGCGCCCGGACTTCCTTCCACCTCTTTACGAAAAAAGAATATCCAGCTGCACTATGTACTACAGTACTATGCACAGATTACCTATATCTGCCTGATGAAGGCTTGACAATAAAAACAGTAGCGTGGCGGATTTGCACCTCTTGTCCTCGACAATCCTTGATTATTCAGGCATTCAGGCATTATCTACCTCCAAAGCTGATCCTAAGCGGCCGAAGCCTGATAACTAGACCTAGATGCCTACGTTCGCCACGTGGTCTTAGCCATGAATATCATTCGCGCGCCAGAGGGTAGATCGCCAGGAAGCCCGTCATTATTCAGGCCTCCCGGTCCTCCCCCTTTTGTTCCCCGACAGGGGTGTCATGTTCGAGGCAGCAGTTCCCCTGCCCTGATTGGTGCCCCTTCCACGATTGGCGCTGCCACCACGGCCGTTCCGCCCCCCACGCGACCCCCCACCGGTGCTCCTTCCTCCTCTCGAGCTCGATCCGCCAACGGCGGCGCTAGCGCCAGATCCGCTGCCGCCCACGTAGACGACGTCTTGGGAGGCGTTATTGGGGCCTGCTCCTCCGCTGCTGCCATTCTTGCTTTCATCCTGGAGGCGTGTTTACGGCGGTGTTAAGACGAGAGACCCGGGTGAATGTCCACCACACGGTCGAAGCTCATACACAGCAGCATTTAGTAAGTTGATGGGGGTTCATTACTGTTTCTCCGAAGGGGTCCATCCAAACTCAGGTCAGTTCAGTATCCGGCAGGGATCACTCGCCCTTCATCACTACTGCAAAGATTGCAACGAATATGCTCCGGGAAAACCCTTCGAACCGATAGTCTTTGTGTGATATTCGACGAAGTGTACAACACATTCTAAAGCCGAATGCACCCACAACGAACGTGGGAGCAGGAGAACGTGCACGGAACGTGATACTACACTTGTATTGCCCGGTTACCTTGTACCAACATGCGTTCGTACAAGAAGTAACCGTTTGGGAAGTGTTCGTGCTACTCACATCGTCAATTTCGTCGAGGGCAACCAGGAGGGGGCCGCTCTGAACCTTGCGGCCGATCTCTTCCAGAAATTTCTTGAACACCCCCTGGAAGAAGATAACCTTCTTGTTCATGTCTCGCCTCGGATTCCCTGTGAACTTTTGCATCTCCGCGTGTTCCTCGTTCCAGACGCCCATAAGGTTTGCGCCCAGGGCGATCACGGGAAGGCCATAGAAGTGGCTCAACGCGCTGAATTGATTGAACTCAGGAACCTTCGCGAGGATCGAAGGCCAGGTATCGGGTTGGCCGGGCGTGCCGGCCATGCCTGCGAGGCCCTGGATCTTGTGCATGTCCTGGCTGATTTCACGTAGCTGGTTTTCGATTCGAGTCATCCAGTAACTGA